GATGTTATATAATCTATAATCTATGCAACACTAAATATTTTTTCAATTCGGACCAGTAGTATCTGAGATTAGCGCATTGAACGAAACAAACAAACTCTTCAGCTAAATACCATTAGTACCTATAGATGCTTAAATAAAGAAAAAAAAAAGAAAATAAAGAAAAGAGTCCCATGATATACGCGGTTACATGAACTAACAGTAGACCAATGAATATAGCCTGTAATTTTAATCATTTTCAAGCGAACGTACACTTAAATACGCAAATCCGTAAGTCGTTTTTCATCTGAATGACTAAAATGATTGAGACTTCCTACCTAAATACAATTTGCCATGCTACGGTTTCTAACTGTAAAGTGTTAAATATTAACACAGCTAAGAGTTGCTACTTAATTTTGTATTCATTTTGAATTTCTAATGCAAAAAGCTTGTCATAGCTAAATATTTACGAGGGCTCCATGGCCAATAATTTATTATTAGCCTGCAGTGCGGCGTCGCATATGACGTATACCTTCTATGTGGGGATAATTAAAGCTGGTGTTGGGTGCAGACAAACTGGAAACTTTATACTCCCCAAGTATAGTTTGCACGTGAAGTTTGGTGTTTCTACAAATAAAAGTTTGAAAATACGTTACAGTAGAAGTAGCGAAATCAAAGTTTATACAATTTAATCTTCGTGTGGTTAGATTTTTATACGACTGAGGCGACATTAAACGCAATTTGAGGGAAATAACCTGAATTATATCGTAACTACAAGTCCTTTGTCGCGCAATATAAGTTGTCACGCGCTTCAATATATAAACGGTAATAATAGTAAATAATGGTTTATATATTAAAGCGGATATTATAAATATTATTACAATCTTATATCGTGGCCCGCCTGGCATCTCTTGCGGGTCATGACCTCACCTATTCTGGACAGAGAACTATCACTACGTTGTACGAACGTCACACTGTGCCTTCCTAATATTGTAACACATATATGCTATAGCATTCAAAGCTTTTGACAAGTTCAAACTGCAACACATTAGAGATATTTAATTATTACTAAGTAAAACCATTCGACTCTGCTCTCTCGGTGGTCTAAAGTTATAATTTAGCACTTATGTTTTCGACCTACTTTTAATTCCCAGATTGAGTGGTCCATTCGCCAAATGTCCAATTCGCAAAATGTCCAGCTGGCGCAAAGTGTCCAGTTCGCAGAATGTCCAGTTCACAATTAGTAAAATTCGCAATTAGTCCAGTTCATAATTAAGGGGTTGAATTAGATTAACCAATTCCACTAGTGACTAACAACAACAAAAAAATATTGCGGTAAATAAGTGTAATATAACTTTGTATATGTTTAGAAGGTATATATTATAAGCAAGTGTATGTATATTTATATCAACCTCTTACATATAACAGCCGATAATTTAATATTTTTCATGTTTCGATCAAAATAAGAGCGCAGGCTCTTATTTACCAGCGCAGCTGTGGTTAGACATCTCATACACTGAGGAGTGTCAGGTCTTTCTTAAACAAACGGATCTATAAATAAATGGCATGTCTGTCTAAACAGTGCTCGGGGAAAGATTGCTCCAATCGACTGATTGAAGAGGGGTGAAACCACTTTCACGCTTGGCAGGTCTTAATATGCAATCAATTTCAAGGACGTCCGTGTTACCAATCTCAATCAATGAAAAAATGTTTTTACTGCCTTGTTAGCATACTATTTATTAGTAATTTTTTTTTAATTTAAATAAACCTAAATCATTTCCTTAACAACAATTACGTGAAGTTAATTTTTATTATTTACACCCCTTGGATTTTGATTTATTTATCTGGATATGTAAATATGTTTATTCAATACTGGAATGCGATGTCTCCGTTGACGATGTCGCACAGGGCCTTATGCATAGTGTATTATCATCATCGTCAAAAGCCTTTAGCAGTCTACTGTTAGACATAGGCTTCTTCTAAGAAATGAGATTTTGGCTTATTATAAAACTCTATGCGTCCTACATTCGTGTAAATTGTGGATGTTTTTTCTATGATCCTTTCTATAAAAAACTACGCCGTTTGCTGAAATATTGTAATCTCATTCTTCTACTGCAATTAGACTCAGTTAACAAAAAGGAAGAGGAAACTAACGAAAATTGACAGAGAAAATCTCGTTTTTGAAGTAAAATTGTGAATATGCATAGATAATCTCTATATTTTATAGGATTTTAATGAAAGGATGGAGATAGGTAATATATTCTTTCATCCCATTTCTCTTAAGAAAATCAGCACCATTACGACATTTGAATGTTTGTATTTTGATAAACTGAACACAAAAAAAAAATATAGCCTAAAAATTAATCTCTTAATAATTTAAGTTTAATTTACATTTGTAATTCGTTGTATCGATGCACGTTCAACTTGCACCTAGCCGGGGTTTTTTCAACAGATGCTCTCACATCAAAAGACCACCTTGTTATTGAAATGTACTTGCATATCAAAAGTTAAAACATATAAGTTAATTGAATTTTCTTGCATTTGTAATTAGAACACTTATCGAAATTATAAGTGGGTATTCAACAGCTGCATACCCGGTCAGTTAACAAAAACACCTTGTCTAAGTTTAAATTATATTATTTTATTTATAGGTAGACCGGGTCGGGTACATAAATGTGCCATTCCGTGTCCTAAATATTCCGTGTAATAAATGCATTTTATTTAATTACTTAATTTTGCCGTGTGATACGCTGTTAAAAGTATTTTTTTCGTCCTTCAGCAAGTACGATACTAATATTGTTCAAAGTATCTCATCTATTTTTCTTTATCTGTAGCATCATGTAACTAAAGTAGCACCAGAAACATTAGCTCGCACTGTCAAAAAGGGCTCCGTTCTCTAGAATCCCTATCGTCTGATCTCATGTGGAGCTAAGCTTCTAACTCTACACACCCTAACTTCACAAACTCTACGCAAAACTATGCTTCATACCTTAAAAAATCAGTTCTGCATCTACTGGACTGACCCTTCGTCACATTTTTAACATGGCTTGTAAGCTACTTTTTTCCATGTCAGGCTAAAGATTATCATAAATAACTATAAAAAGTTGTTAGACACTTCTTAATTTTTTTAAACATTTTGAAGTCAAAAGCGACGAAATCACCTCCCCCCTCCCTTTTCCATAATCAGAGGGGGAGGGGTTCGGGTTCAGGTAACCTCACTCACTCGGTCAACGGTAGAATTGCTTAACAGTGGTTGTATGTAGTTGGTGTATCACTCGGGTAGCGCCGGCCCCTTTTTGTCGAAGCACTGCTCTCCCGCTGGTGATTTCAACACTTACAAGAAAAATAATAAAACATTTATACGAACCACCCACTTAGCTCCCAAATAAGTGGTTCCAAAAATCGCCTAAATTCTATGAACTCCGGATGTCTCACATCCGAGTCACAAAAGTAACCAACCGCGATACGACATCGAAACGACTTTTGATCTATTCTGGGCGGCAAATGGATCGCGTCAACAGCAATTGATTGCGATGTTGCTGTAATAACAAACGGTGATTATCGTCGTCAGTTGCTACTTAAAAAAACGATTTCTTGGACTTGGATTAGATAAGGTTTTCTATTTTGCTACAATTATACCTATTGAGTAACCAGTTATTGTTATGTATCTTTTTATAAAATGTAAAGGTAAATTTGTTTTTAATTTTGTTTATAAGTAACAAACGGGCTTTGATAACATAATTATAAATCCAGTAAAATTATGTTATCAAAGCCTACTCTACTCCATACCTAATTATTTTTCTAGTGTCGTTTTAGTGCCCTTTAATATTATGTATGCCTATACTTATAATGAGGATATGGCTAGAAAAGGAGTAAACAGGATCTGTCGAGTGATAGAGGAGATTGAAATTAATTATGTAAAAGGGTAAGAAGGTAAATTAGAATGGCAAGTCGGCACTATTATATTTGCATTTTAGTTGAAATTAACTTACAAATTAATTAATATCATGTAATTAATTAATGGATATATTTCTGTAAAATAAATTCAGTCCTGATTGTTATAAGGAAAGGTTTAAATAGTTTTGTTTAGTTGTGCATACATTTGTATTTAGTATGTCTTTATGATTTAAATCTTTTATAAGTATGAAGAACTTACTATACATATAAACTTCTTAGCACTTGTACATTTATTAAAGAAGGCCTGTTAGTCTAGTGGTCAGTTACCCTGACTGCTAAGCCGGAGGTCGTGGGTTCAATTCCACCCAGGACAAATAATTGTGTGATGAGCACGATGATTTGTTCTGTGTCTGGGTGTAATTTATCTGTAATATGTATTTATTTATTTATTTATGACTTCATGCACAAATGTGTATATCGGCGGACTTAATGCCTAAGGCATTCTCTGCCAGTCGACCTATCGGGCGATGCAGAGAAGATGAGAGAGAGATTTAGAAATATATAAGTATGTTTATCAGCAGTCTGGTTACTATAGCACAGGCTCTGCCTAGTTTCGAATCAGACGGCCGTGTTTGTGTGTGATGTGTGCAGTTATTATTTATTGATCCCGTCTGTCAGTATACAAGTACTTCATTCGTTCATTATAAGCTATCATAGCATACCTATGACTACAGTTTTTTTTATTAATCTCTATTTTAATAAGGATAAGATAATTAACGTTGTTAGTTATGAAGGGTGCATTTTTATGTTTTTACCATCTCTTGTTACTTTGTATTTCGGCCGTCGGGCTTCCCAACAATTAGTCGATACATTTTTAATCGATTTAAAAAATGGTTAACTTTTAAATTCGACTGAATTGCGTTGCAAATGATAAATGTCGACAATCCACAGATAACAGTAATAATACTAGAGACGATGATAGTTCTCTGTTATTGTTGTGTGAAACTTCCTTTTATTTAAAAAACAAACTTTATGTAATAAACTGGTCAACTTATTTATTATTACATTCTTGAAATACTATAAAAACAATATTAAAAGCTACAATATATTTTGCACAATTTATAGTCATGGTACGATTATATTCGTTCAGTTACTTCCAATTGACTATGAAAAAAAGAAATAAAAATGTCTATGCTCATCCGGTGGCGCTTACTGATGCGTTCACTACTGGGGTATTTTCAAATCATAAATCAGAGGGCGGCGACACTTGACTAATTTTAACACTGAAATTTGAATAAATGGGTAGTCTACGATGATTCATATTTTGACCAGAAGCTTTACTAGAAACTTTACTTTAATAAATACATTTGGACTAACTACTTGTTTAAATAAAACATAATTTAGCTTTGGCATAATTTAAGATACCCATGTGTAAACTTTACTAAAATATATATATATGAATTTATCTATTTATATTGAAAAGTCTTATTTTATTACATCGATTGAAATACATTTATAAACAATTATGTTTTGAATAGAGTTCAATACCATGACAGATGAAAATTATATGGATCCTTGTTTTCATTGTCTAAAAATTTAAACTTTCTGGACTTTTTCTACATATAAACTTAAAGTATGCCAAATTACACGTTCTTCTATTTGATGTTAACGTAAAAAATCCGAACAAAGATACCTAATAATAAATATGTAAGTAGAAGAAGGCGAACCACTAATACGCATAAGTCACTTGATAGATTAACATGTATTTAAAACGGGTATTGGCCGCAAATGGACTGCAATTAACACTAATTCAACACCTCGCCTTTATTACTTGTTTCCTAACAAAGTCATTACTTAATTAACTACTGGTTGAGACTGAATAAACAAGGAAGTTAGTTACTGGGAGAGTGCATTGCCGCTAAGTTTAATTAGACTCGGAGTAGGTACCTAATCAACGAATGGTGTGTTTACATTTAAAGAACTTTTAATAAATACATTAAAGACATCTTACTTTTTAAAATAAACAAAATATAATGTATGCCTCTAATTTTTTAAGTAATTAAATTTTGTAGATCGTTAATAGTATTTAGAGCATGCAAAATGTTACAATAGCTGTACAAAGACTGTCAGCTGTTCACAGTATTTTTATTTTTTACTTTGTTTCTATAATTTTATAAGGAAAATGTCTTAGTAATAGGTAAATATAATTATTTAAATTAAATTAATAAAAGATTAAATGAGGGTTAGTAGAAACAATTAAATCGGGCCAGGTAATATGACAGCTATCTATTATTTATTAAAAAACGTAATTCTTGACTTCGTTAGCCATAAGGCCTTCCCTATTGATGCAGCATCTACTATAAAGGGCCTTAAAGTTTTAAGACATTAGTAATGCTTCATGTTAGTAATTTATTTACAGTACAGTATTTTTATTTCATGCCACATTCCCCAAAATTACATTTATCCTTTAGTCAATTCGTTACAGTTTATTTAATGCAACTTTGCACAAAACTCATTGATTTAATCAATAAAAAAGTTTTAAATGAATGAATTCAAAGAATGACTTGAAATAAGTAAAATAAAGAAATGAATAATAAATGAATTCACAGTGAATTACCGAAATATTTCCTTTTTGGATTTTATTGGTAAATATTATGGCTTTCTATTGGTTATTTTTCATCGTTCTCGCATTCTGAATCTGAACGTTGGCCCGATTTAGAAAGTTCCCGATACTCGTTGCGTCCCCTCTTGTCGTGAGTCAGGCAAATTATAGTTTGTGATTAATGCGAGCTATTCCTGAGCGTATCCTTCACCCGATGTTTCACCTTCCTTTGTTCTTTAAATGCCTATTGTAAATTTCTATTTGGTATTACGTACCAAACATGAGTACATATTCTTCTCAAAATATTGATAATAGACACAGTTAAAGTTACAACCCGTTTAACATACCGCCAAGCAATTATATACCTACATAAATTGTAAAGAAAGCTTAATATTTTTGGTTGTGAAAATCAGGGTTAACGAACTAATTTAATAGGTTGTAAAAACTAAATTACGCGTTTTTATAACAGCGGAAATGGTATACCTAACGCTGGCGTGTGCAATAAGGATTATGGACTGTAAACTTAAGCTGCTCCGATGATTCAACGTCGAAATACGAAGACGTGAAGCCATCGGAATACTTTATGTTACATGCTTGATTGATTTTGAATACAAGAGCTTCATTCGTTTAATACTCTTAAAAAATTGTTTAAAAAGAAACAGAGCAATTTTAGGTAGATATCTCTATAAAGTGAATACTTAAATAGCGCTTTGATAATAATAAGCTAGTCTGTTGTCTGAAGATATCTTTCAGCGTCAAGTAATATATTCATTTTTTTTTTAAATAATTGTAGAAGTGTGAGGTGTTTTTTTTTTCATTTTCGATCAAGATCTCACTACTATTTTGCTGAATTCCGTCGTAAGAAACTTCTCAGCACAAAATCTTTGCATAGTTTTTATGCATCTGACAGTTTAGACAATAAAACCGCGTAAGTTTGAGTTAAAGCTGAAAGCAACAGATTAATAAAAAGGTTACTTCAGAAACTTGTTGTTATTTTTTTATTTTAAAGTTTATTTACAAGATTTTAGTTGGCAATCATAATAAGCCAAAATATTAAAACTATTTGGTAGCATCTGTTAGATCTCTATGAAAAATTATTTTCTTTGCTCAAATCTTAATAAGTTATCATGTACTTCCAAAACTACCTACTTTTTGATATCGATAACTTCAAGTAGGGGTGAGGTGTGGATAATCCTGTCCGTATCGGATAACTTGTTTCAATAACAAGTAACGCCAGTTAATCCCTATTTCGTGATTGGATTAATGTCTAATGAAATACGACGCGCGTGCCTTTGATCAATGTTTACAGTTTGATATTGGTGTAGTTTGTATTTATTAGTTTAAGCCTGTTTCGTGATTAAATATTATAATCACACTAACCTCTATTCTCTGCGAAGAAATACCTGTTATTTCGTTGCCGTCTCTCTCTAATCCCTTTTTAGGTTAATTGATATTTACATTTACGTAGGGTTCCTTAATTAATTTGTTAAACTTTTTACATTACTGGAACCGTAATTAATTTGAATTTCCTTGTGTAAGTTTGTACAAGTATTTGTTTCTAAGCTTCTCATAATAAACACTTGGTCGGTGGTCCCATAGCAATGAATTTTGAAAATCGCTTAGGAAAATCATACACAATACTACAGTATTAAATAGTACAATTTAATTGGACAACGTAATGTATTTTGTATAGCATCATTTCTGAATAAAAATAATACACTTGAGGTTAAACAACTGCTTCCATCGACACCTGTGTTGGACACCACCTGTACTTACTGGTACTGGGTGTAGGGTGTAGCCATGCTTAGGTTTTTATCCCAAACATATTGCTTAAAGTACCCTTTACACGATTATCATTAGGGACAAATTGCTTTAGCCCGTATTTTTAATACGATACGAAACGTTTACTGTATCACTTATTTTTCAAATCCTTAGTGTACAAATACATTATAATTTATTTATCTACCTACACAAATATGTAATATGATAGCTATCTCAACAATTAAAATACTCGTAGATATATCTATCACACTGCGGTTAGACTGCTACGAAGCTTGTGACCGCAATATGCTTTTGATATTAATCTAACTGAATACAGTTGCAACATGCTCTCAAATCTTGCGGTTTTGTTTGCTAACTGCATGGTTGCGTCATATTATGGTGGTGAGTTTCCAATAATCATGATTAACCTGAAGACTCCAACATAAGGAATCTAAGCATCAGAAAATAATAATGTAAAAGGGAGAAATATGATGTTGTAGTCAAATAGTCAAATAGGCTACGTGCATTACGGGCATGTATAGGGTTTTTTCTCAATCATTATTTCATTTAAAAAATATGTACGTAACATAGTATGTATGAGAGGTGATTGAACTTATTTATAATTTTTCTTCCTCCAAGTTTTTTTCCCAAACTACGTTGGAGTTCCCATTAAATCTACTACTACATGGCTAAACTTGATTTAATAATGTTTGTTTTCATTTTGTTAAAGGTCCGCGCCATGGAGCAGCGGCTGTGCGAGTGGCCAGCGGGCACTGAAGGTGCACCCAGAGCTATCACACGGCTGGAGGGCCAGATTGAAGAACAGGTAATGAATCGTGTTACAGTTAAGATTTTATTTTGCAACAGTGTTTTTCATTTTGTGGAAAGAAAATTACAAATATGACAAGAGATTTTATTCTAAACGAGGCATTAAAAAACAATTTGACACATTAGTAACAGACAACAATTTATTTTGATTCCGTTAACTAGTAACGGCCCTCGTTTAGCAGCAGGACGTGAATAGGCTGATGATGAACTAGTAACTGAAGAGTACTTCAGTAAGGTCAAACTCGGCAACCACTTTTTAAATTATATATTTTTTTTATAATATACTAGATTTACTATTAAATAGCGTCTAACTTACCTGCCTAGCAACCCTAACCTACGTACTCAAAAAACTACGTACGTAAAAATTATAGTTTACTGTGTTTTTGACCAATGTCTAATGTTCAGTAATTTAGAACGCATCTTTTAATGTCTTCGTAACCGGTTTCAGAACTTACGCTTCAACTTATTGGAATGTTAATGTCATTTTTGAGGTAGTGGAAATTGTATGTAAACAAAGTTGTGTATTGTTATTTTAGTAAAACTATTGAATGAAAAGATATATTTCAATCAAGGATATGTTCACATTACTTTTTCATTATACATATAAAACGAATACTAGCCCATTCAGTGGTAAAAAATTATGATACGTGCTAAGATACGATACGAATACGAATACTTGGTACAAGATGCACGTAAGTAGAGATTAATTAAAAAGAATGTAGGTAGGTAGTGTAAATAATAATACGTATCGATGACAATAATCATAGAGAATATAAGTATTATACAATAACGGATTAGAATTGTAGTATAGTGTATATTAACAGGAATTAATAACAATACTAATGTAGACCATTCAAACTCTTTTTCCAAAAATGAGATTGTGAGAATAACTTTTGATTCTTGCTTTTAAGAAAATATTTAAATTTTAAATATTTTATTAAAAAATCTCTGCCTTCTATTCTCCTTCTAAATTTTCTGTAATCCCAGAATAGCTATATATATTTTTAATCCAGATTGAAGTCTTTATAAATTAAATTCAAAAACAACATTATCACAAAGCATGGCTTTTTGGGATTTCAGTAAAAAAAAAAAACAGAAAGGAACATGATGTCTCTCATAAAGTTGAGATCAATTCTCTTTACATACTGTACACTGACTGATAACCTTTCTGACAGAAGCAGTTAAGACTCCAAGACGCGAAACAGGTGGAAGCAAAGGCGGCCCGCATAAAAGAGTGGGTTACAAACAAATTGAGGGAGTTAGAACAGCAAAACCAGTTGCTACGAGAACAGAACGACCGTTGCAATCAACAACTTGAGTTGTTACGGAATCATATAGCAACTCAGGGTAGCAGGAATTGCACGGTAAGAATTTTCACAAGTTATTTTATACTATTATAGCTTAGGAGAGAAAGGTAATTATTAGACACTCATGCTATGCAGTAATTAATAGGCTATTTAGATAATTAATCAAAAATGTGGGTATTAAAATTTGTTGTCGCACGGACCTTGCGGGGACTGCATTTTTTATTTACAGTTACGTGTCATTAATAAATAACAATCAGGATACATTTTTTTTGTATAACATCTGTATTTATCAATGTTCTCATTACATATTTATTTTGTCAACTTATATCATACAATGAATTGAAAATAATAATTGTTATGTTATGAAGGCTTAAAACTTTCATTTACTTTCTTCTTCAAGATTATAAAAGCTGAGAAATTTAACAGCAAGCACGTCAAATTCATAATATTTAGTTACCTTGTATCTATTTGGCTTCTGTTAAAAGCTAGGTTTTAAGTTAATATAATAGGTTCAATATTATAATACTATAATTTTATATGATCTTACAGTGATCTTATGTATGCAGGACCTGTAATAACTAAAACTATAGAAACCGACCTTAGAAAAGTCCATAGAGAATTGGCTTGGTAGAAGCTAGTATTTTTTGTCTACTACTTTGGATCATATTCTGACATATACAACATGTACATTCTGTATACACCAAATTCTAAGATAGTTGGTATATAAATAAACCTCTATCATTTATTACCCCCCCGGCTAAATGCACCTACCTCATTCTTTCTCAACATCACCCAATTGGTCGACTGGCAGAGAATGCCTTGGGCATTAAGTCCTCCGATGCATGTGCTTGTGCAAAAAGTTATAAAATAAATAAATATTACAACTTCATAAAGTGTTAATGCTGGACTAGGCTATGTCCGAACACCGAAATACATATATATTGCACTTGTAAGTATTATCTACAGGCGGCTATGTATTGAACATACAAGATGCCTTTGCTATATTATACCTCTAGTGATGATATTATAGGTACTGTTAAATCAGTGGATTTTTTGTTAAAGTTTAAGGAGTAATATGATAACTTGGTAATGTGTGTTATGGAAAACTTAATGCAGTACAATGGCTCTAATTACTTGCACAAAAACCCTTACTAATAACTCGAATACTAGTGTTAGGTGACTCAAATTTTTAGTTTATCTTTGAATAAAAAATGAACTGCAGTTTTTTACAAGATATTCAATAAAATAAGGTTATTTACTAAATTAGCATGTCTCCTAAACATTACCAACACTATTTACTGTACCCAATTACCTCCCCAGTTCCTACCAACTCGAGCGAGCCTCTCACTCGAAGTGAGGACGGACGACGGTTCTCCTCGAGCCACGTCAAGTCTCTTGGCTAACAACCGAAGACGATCAGAAAGCCTCGAAGGGCCGCAGGTAGTCACTGTGACTTGCCCTTAGGGCGTTAAATGTCAAAGCAAATAGTTTAATGTTAAAAATAAGAGCACAAATTTATGTTAAGCTTATTATATAACAACAACTTCCAGTGGTTCTATAACAGTTAACAAATCCTTGTAAAATATGAAAAATAATTTAACTGGTACAACCTCCGTTCAATATTAAAAATAAAAAAAGAACAAAATTATTTAAAACAGACTGATCCTTTATTAAATATTAAAATTGTCTGTAACAAATAAAGTATCCTCAAATTAAATACTTTCCAAAAGTTAAAAGTTAGAGATTTTCCCTTGTTTTGTTTAAATCTCTATGGGATGGTTGTTACTATTAAACACAGGATTATGTAACAGTAAGGTAACTTGAATAAAATAACTTTGTGTTATAACCATATTGCTATTTCTGTTAAAACTGCACAATTTTATGTTATTTTAATTATATTTTTGCACCAAAAAAATCATCAGTTATGGTTTCAGTGCTAACAGTTTATGCAGTACATTAAATGTTGACGCTTCTGTCCGTGCCGTAAAACCTGTTTGTTATATTCGTGCTGGATTAAATCATGCTGCCTTCATCAAGATATTGGGTTGCTAAATTATTGCAATATTGTTTTCAGACTCTAGTGCTGCTGCCAATAATAGCTAAATTGCATCAGTGTAATTCATTAAATTAAATTACAATTAGTTAAATATAAATAACTAATTTTGTATATTTTATATCTTTAACTTTTTAATTTAGTGTAGTAATCCCATGACTTTCAAAACAACTTATGAGTTTCTAATAACACTTAACTCGAGGATGAGTATATATTTTTATTTTTTATATTCACAGCTACCAATAAACTCATCGGAACCTCACTATAGTACCCCAGTTAGACACAGACGGAACTTGTCAATCGGCGCTACCAACATAGCGAACAACGTTAATGCTGCCAACCCACCGGGGTTGACCACTATGAATAAGACTATGGATGAGAGGACTACGGCCAGCTTGTTAGCTGATGACTTGGCTGTATGTATTCATTCTGTGAATTATTTTGAACCATTCTCACCAAGGAGAATCTTATTGCATTTTTTTTTGTGAATATTATGCGCTTTCTAAGATAAATTTGTGAATCGCTTTCGATAATTTGTATTAATTGAATTTGTTGTACAAAAGGTTACATTTGAATGAAAGGAAGTATATTACATCTTAAACTAGTTTCCTCTAAAACTAATAGATAGAGAATACAGCCTATTAAACTTTATCGTATTTTAGGGACTAAAGTGACTGAATTTTTTTAAAGTTCCGTAGCAGCTACGGAATAAATTATAAAAAAAAATGCAACAATAAGTGCCTTGCATTCTTATTAAGTACCTACTAAATCTATCGATCACAAAGGGTTGGTGAGGGAATGGTCAATCTTTTTAAACATTAATTTATCCAAATTTATTAAAGCACTGATATAGTATTCAAACTATATATCTTTATATTAATAATATAACAGGCTGTTAAGCTGTAGTTGAAAAAGGCCCTAGAGAAACTTTCCTATTAATTTCTATTTGCAACGTCTATTTTTCTTTCAGGCCGCAGTGGAAAACTTAGTCGTGCTTCCAACGACGCCGAACACTTCGACTGACGGAGATACCACACACGACTACGCAGAAATATATACACCAAGCAGAGGTAATTATATAAATTTATGAGAGGTATAGCAGACCAAAACCTCCTTTCTAAGGACAGGCTTATGTCCAGCAGGGAACTGTTGAAGGCTGTTGATGAGGATGACATATCATAGATAAATTACAATTAGACACAGAACAAGTGATCGTGCTCATCACACAAAATTTGTCCTGCGTAGGAATCGAACTCACGACCTCTGACTTAGCAGTCAGTAGTTACCAACAGGCCCGTCAGGATTTAATTTTAATATTTTCTTTTTCTAAAAAAGAAGAATTTTATATCCTTGTAAACTTCTAGAACGAACTCCAGCGTGGCAAGGCGCAGTCAATGTGATAGTGCAAGGCAACAGTCGCGGCGGCTCGTCTACTGGTGATAGCTCCACGTCCGAACAGCCCCGGCCACCTACACCACCATTGCATAGGTTCCCCAGCTGGGAGGCTAAAATTTACCAGGTGCGTATTTAGCTTTTTGATGTGGACCAGCTAACACGATCTGTGCGGTATTATAATATTGCTCAATAAAATTTCAAATGTTTTATTGACTTTGTAATTCCATTATAGGTAGCAGACGACGGCCTCCAACAGTCTGTAGAGGAGGAACTGAGTCCACCGCCTTGTCCCAGACCAATGCACGAATCCACCAGCTACCAGGATATATCCGTCCCAGTTTACGCCACTGTCAAAGGGGTATGTTTACCGGACATTGCTCATACATTTATTATAGTCCTATGAAATAAATTCATTTACTTAATGATCGGCTTTTGCATTTAGAATTTCTAGCGTAAAAATATTTTTTAAATGTTTCGGCAACAGTCGTTTTTTCTACATTACGAGTACCTTCTGCGTAATGAGGGTGCAAAATTAAAAGGTCATCGATTAAATACTAACTTAACTATTTGACACATTAAAATATTACTTATATTTTATTATTTTCTAGGTTATTTTAGAATATTTTGTATAAAAAATTACCAACTTATCAATGTGTTATCAATCTGTTGCAGCGTGCTAGTCAAATAAGATCGATGCCATTCACCGGTGATTCGTCAGACGACTCCTCAGACGGCGAAGAGTCCATGGGAGTGACCGTCCATAACACGCCACATCACCAGCTTGTCAACCCAGTATTCGGTAGTTATTTTATCTAATCATATGCCACGTACATTTCAAGAAAGTGTGAGGAGTTGAAGTCATTATTATTTATTGAGTTTAGAGTTAGCAATAATATATCGTAACGAGCGTCATAATGGCTGCCTTTTGATAATCCCTTTTTATTTATTCTTGTTTTAATTCTTATATTTATTACAGTTAACACAAATAATATAAGTATACGTAGTTCGATAGTAAGCTCCAAAATATATTTTTTTGGCAATAATAATATTACTCTGCCTTTAGAAAAGTGCAGAACCATCTATAATTAGTTTGTTAGTTCGTCGTCATTACTTAAACTAAACTATTCATGACAGGTGGCACCACCTCTAACCAAATCCCAATCAACAACGTGAACCTGACCAGCGTCCTTCCAGCCTCCATCCAACAGACATCCAACGGCTTGGTGCTAACCAACAGTGCCAACGGGCAGTGCAGCTCATCTGATACCAGTCTTAGCGCTAGTAGCCCGTCGAAGAGTGTGAAGACGAGTTCGAGCTTGTCACCTGCTAAGAGGTCCAGTAGTGGATCACCGAGTAAACAGAGCAAGACCAGAGGTTAGTTGAATGTCTATTAACAATTTCTTCAAATAGCACTTTGCACTATTTCTTGAAATGCATCACAGTTATTTCAGAAAAACACTTATGACTAGAATAAAAAATAGAATAGAAATCATCAACGATCATTCATTAATTTATTTATTATTTATTTGTTCTACACACTAAACAATCTGCCTACTTATCTAATCTAGTAGGATACTAATCTATGTTTATTCTAAAAACATGGTTCTAGAAGTTTAAGCAAATACTTACATTTAGTATTTACTACCATCTTCCCAAAGGCGAAACACGATCGTCTGTTCTTATTTCAAAAGCACGCCATTGTCAATAACATAATCAACTCCTGTAATACTACATGCTTTATCACTAGCCAGAAACAGCACCAAATGACCAACCTCCTCTGGTTCCGCTATTTTACCTAGAGGAGCTGCTGAATTGAAGCATTCCCAAGGAGTTTCATCCCCAGCGTTTATTAAAATATCAGTCCTTACTGGCCCTGGACTTATATTGTTAACTCTTACACCATACTGTGCCAGTTCTAGAGCTGAACCTTTAGTAAAGTTATCAACCCCGGCTTTTGTGATACCATATGCTGCTAATTTTGGGACAGCAACAGTTTTACCAGCAATACTCGATATGTTGACTATGTTACCTTTAGTTTTGATAAGATGTTTTGCAGCTAAACGTGTCATATTAAACAAAGCACGTAGATTGGTGTTCATCTGTTCATCAAACAGTTCTAAAACATTATCATCTAAAATGCTTTCATATCTTACAATGCCTGCGTTGTTCACCAATATGTCCAATTTGCCAAAAGTGTTGATAGTTTCATCGATAATTTTCTTTGCTTCATTTTCATTCGTTATATTACTTTTAATGATAAGTGGGTCCTCGCATTCAGAAGCAACTTGCTTCAGTTTTACTTCATTTCTTCCAACAAGAACTACGTTTGCTCCTTCTCGAGAAAACATTATAGCTGTAGCTGCTCCTATACCAGAACTTGCTCCGGTAACAATAACGACTTTGTTCGAAAAACTCATCTTTTCTCACAATTAAAAACTTGAATGTTTTTTCTTGAACTGTGTTGTTTCTTCAAATAGTGTAGAAGACTGGGGGGGTAAATAGTATTTGTGGGGGTTTTATAAGTAGATGCCACCATCTATCGCTTATTTATTCATGACTTTCGCAACGGTTGGCCATTTTCCCACATTCGTTACTGATTCCTATATGACCTTGGAACAAAATGTTTTATCCTATTATCTTCGTTAGTAGTATATAATTTGTAAATTGACGTGCACGCCCAAATATACATTTAAAATGAGGACAAAACGCACAGACTTTATAAGGTCTCCTTTCAGTGTTGTAAATGTTGTGATATTTGAAGATGCCTATTTTTTTGTTCATTTTTTATACCTTACGGCGTTTTTTCTTTTACTGAAAATAGCTACAGATGAATACTTAAGCAAATGTACTATGTTTATAGTATATTTTCTGTATCTTTCATTTATAAAAACAAATTTGTATGATAAAATATGATCAGTGTTTAAACCAGTTTAAACTAATTTATTTGAATACTTTGCCGATAGCTTCAAAAGCTTGTTTAAAAAAAAAGTAATTAATACAAATATATTAAACCGATCAGGCATCCTCACAGAACTTCATACGGCATTTAATAAGGGTAATACAAAAAATCAACAATATTTAAAATATTTCCTCTCCAGACACATCATTCGAATCCGGCATGTCAGATGACTACGCAATCCCACCGGATGCAGTTTCCTGCGATAGTACCGCGTCTCCTTCACTCGCGTCGCTGTGCCGCGCTCCGCCCACCACGGACTCTCCGCGACGGCACGATGCTTTAGAGAAAAGTGGACACCTGGCCAAGCTTGGAGGGAAACTGAAAACTTGGAGAAAACGATGGTAAGATTCTTTCGAGATCGAGTAAAATAAGAATGCACTGTGTATTGTCGTGCTCTGTATGGGACGCTCTTGGAGGCGTTTAGTTTTCGAGAGGAAAACCTTTATGACGTTTAGTTATCACTTACAAGTATAAAAGGTCAAGTATTTTAATTTCATATTTAAATATATAGATGTGCTAAAATACATTCTAATCTTATTCACATAACATAAATGTGAAGCTTTGTTGCATTATTATATAATATTTAGGTTAGTAACAGCTTATAAATTATAATAAAAATTAAAGAATACCTTAACAAACTATTCAATTACAGGTTCGTTCTTAAAAATGGTACTCTATCGTATTGGAAGTCCCAGTCCGAAGTGAATCGGAAACCTCAAGGACAGATAGGGCTGGGCGAAGCTTGCAAGATATCCAGGAACGAAGGTGCTGCCACCTTCGAGATTTTCACCGGCAGCAGAACTTATTACTTGACGGCAGACAGCATCGCTACCATGGAGGATTGGATCAGGGTATTACAGGTATGTAGAGCGCTTTTTTTTAGTTTATTGTATACTTGAAACTTTAGGTTTTGTACAGAAGAAACTAACAAGGTCTTGCAGTAAATTTCTAGTACGTTTTTAATTTTTTGCTCACTACATGTCACAAACCTCCTTTCTAAGGAGAGGCCTATGTCCAGCAGTGGACTATTAAAGGCTGATGATGTGATGTGATGTGATGACATGTCACAATCATTGTTTCTGTTTACACTGACTCCATGCCATATCTCGTCTTATGTATACTGACACCATTGCACCATTTAATAAATTTAAAGGAGTTCTACTTAAAAAATGTGGTTACTACTTTGAAATTAAGTCTACCTCATTAAATTGCTCTGTAATATTTTACTTGAGTGTCATTAATAAATAAATATCAACATCAACGGTTATGTTTTCCATCATGTATGGGGTATCATCAAATCATTTTGAATTGAATCGTATTAATGAATGATTTTGTATTGAAGCATTCATTCTTGGACGGATAATAATTCCAGGGATTTGGAATATTATATGATTTTTTCATTTTCAGAACGTACAAAGACGAAATGCGACGAAGCTACTTCTAAGCAAAGAAGACAACAAACCCACTATTCAGGGCTGGCTAACTAAAGTTAAGAATGGCCACGCCAAGAAGAGCTGGTGCGTGCTTATTGGCAAAATGTTCCTGTACTTTAAGTCTCCAGGAGACCAGGTAATATGATTTCATATCAGTTTCCAGAACTGGCTACTGGCGTTGATCGGCCATATGTAAGTGCCACTAAAAGAAATACGAAATATGCTAAATTCAGATGAAACTAATCGAATTTTAGCGTATTTTATTGTATAACTTGAGTAATAAATATGATTGCTAAATATTAGTCGTGAAGGCAACAAGGTTCAATGAAATACATTATATTACTTACTTTGTCAATTACTTAAATTAAAAAGATTTAACATTCGATGAAAGTTTACTTTTATTTGTCACATAATGAATCACTGTTGGATTTCGGGCCTCCAAGACGACAAACCATTAGTAATTATTTTTGTCAATTATCACGAATATTTTTCTTGTATTATATTTAACTTTATTTTAATTATTCCTAGAATCCAACCGGCCAGATAAACATGCGTGACGCTCGAGTAGAGGACGTAGAGCACGTGTCCGACTCCGACTCCGAAGAGAAGACTGACGACACGAGAAAAAACCTCACAGTCGCCATCTATCCGCAACACCAGGTAACTGGGGTCAGTGAATATCAGCATATTATACAATATTGTCTTGTGAACGTGAATGCACTTATAGAATTAATTATCATATATTAATTTGGCACATAGTATAATTTACTAGCGTATTTAGAAATAGTTTTATGAGACACGTTAAGTTGTAGTCACATTGACTACAATGATACATTGTAATTAATTTTAGCTTAGTTTTTTCATTGTGTATTATTATATTAACATAAACTCAAATACTCTTTATTGAGTAGGTCTTGGTACAGTGTACTTACAAACGTCAATGGGATACAAAATAATAATAATAAAAGATAAGACATTAAAAGTACAGAGATGAGATGACCCTGATGACCTAAGTGAAATGGCATAAGAGTCAAATAAATACTTTTAAATCCTTTAAAATAACAAACCCTAACACAACATATGTATTAATAATAATAATATTCTACCACATTCACACAACGCCATCTAGTCCCAATCTAAGCAGAGCTTGTACTATGGGTACTAGACAACTGATATAAATACATATATACTTTTTTTTTGTAAATACATACATATACATAGAAACACCCAGACCAAATCAAACATTAAATGTTCATGCACACAAATGTTTGACTTAAGCGGGAATCGAACCCGCAACCTTTGGAATAGCAGTCCGTTACAGAAACCACTACGCCATTCGGTCGTCAATAGTACTTGTATATCTAGCATTTAAGCGACATATCTAGAATTGAATAATAATTTTTGGTTTTCTTCTTAATTACTGTAATGAAATAGTATCACACTAGATCATTTTAGGAGCCATCCATAAATTACGTTACACGTTAGGGGGGGAGGGGGAGTCGGTGAAGTGTGACATTGCGTGACAAGGGGTGGGAGGGTTCCTAAGATTTGTGACGTCACGTTTCAAAACTAGAATGATTTGAATTATTTATAGTATTATACAATTAGTATACAAGTATTATTTGATGTTGATTTTAAATAAAATACTGCTATAAAATAGCAGTTCCAAAGTTAGTTTTAATAATTTCTAGATGTGAAATTACTAGGGGAGGGAGCTTCATAAATGTGACTAGGACACGGACGGGGGTGGGTGTCAAAAAACTTTGAAATTCGTGTGACACAATTTATGAATGACCCCTTATCAGAGAAGCATAAAATATCTAAGAATCGTTGTTTTGAGAATTTAGTTTGTTTGTTTGAAGATTTTAAACCTTCTGGTCACTGCTATTAAAAATACTCCTTTTACTTGTCCGAAAATATTATTATTAGTTTGATCAAGCAATACAATGTTGAATCTTCTAATCCTCATTTCGCATGATATTGACCTCTTAAACTCCAACTTCCAGGGTCCTACATACTTGCTCTTCGAGAGCAAGGCTGACAAAGACTCGTGGCTGTACCATCTGACGGTGGTGAGCGGTGGGGGGTTGAGCCAGGGTACACACTTTGAACAGCTAGTGCAGAAACTAATGGAGACCGACGGAGACCCTAGTAAGTATATCGATAAATTCACATCCTAATACTTATAACCTAATAATAATCTTCTTCGGAGTGAATTTTCAGAACAGTCACAACGCTAGTATGCGACTGAGTTTTTTTGTATTCTACTAGCTGAGACCCGCGGTGTTACCCGCGTTTGTTGTTATAACCGCGGGCAACGCCGCGGGGCGAAGCTAGTCTAAAAAAAGTAACCTAATTTACTCCTTATGACATCAGCTATCTGCCAGTGAAAGTCCCGTCGAAATCGGTCCAGCCGTTCCAGAGATTACCCGGAACAAACAGACAGACAGATAGACAGACAGACAGACAAAAATTGTAAAAAACGTTATTTTGGTATACCTATGTATCGTGTAAACATACATATGCATTTAGTAAAAAGCGGTTAATTTAATATTACAAACAGACACTCCAATTACATTTATTTGTATAGATTTATGCATGTATGTGTGTTTATGTATTGTGTATTCTTATGGAATTCTATTATGTCAAATTTATATTTTATATTGCACCTACCGCATCATATTTCTACATCTCCCGAAGGTTGACTGTGACAGAATTAGACAGAATACCCCATGGCATTAAGTCCGCCTTTGTACAACATGTGCATTAAGAAATAAATAATGAGTACCCGGTTTATATAGCATAAGATTTTCTGACCTCTTTAACAATAATCGTTAGATTGCAGTCTATTCACATTACTCCATCATAAATTATACACCTAAACCTACTTCAGGAATCACACTATCTATTGGTGAAAATTGTACAGAAAATCCGTTTGGAAGTTTTTGAGTTTTATCGCGTTAATACAGATAGACAGACGCGGCCGGGGGACTTTATTTTATAATATAGAAGGTTTCCGTTCTCAAATATTGTAAACACAGTTTAAGTGCTACAGAAAGTCTTTTATGATTTATTTCCAATTTCTTCACGGTGCATGAATCTGTAGTTGTGTACATGAATAACATATAAAGAAACTTGAAAATATTAAGAAAAATAACATTTCATTTCATCACCTTGTATGACACTTAGTTTCATGAAATATAACAATGATAATACACGAGATGAGATGGTTTCATTATTTTAATTACAAGCCACCAATTTAGTCTCTAGAAGCTAGTTTTCTGGATCTAAGAAATTTACACATTCATAGTCACTCAATATTTGATTTACAATCAGTCTAAGTCAACCAGGTACATTAGCCAACAACATATGTTTTGTGCAGGAAACATTTAACACATTGAAATTATTCAGTTGCTAGTAATTCATACTTTTATTTTTCAGATTGTGTTTTATGGAGGCACCCTACGCTTCTGTATTCCAAAGAAAATCTGACGTCACCCCTTACTTCGCTAAACTCCGAGGCTTTACAAGCTGAAGCACTCAAACTTTTTAAGGTAAAAATAACTTTTTAATTATTACAAGAATATGTCAACCTGAATAAAAGTAACGGTTGTGACTTTGTATATTGCAAAATGTTAAATATTACATAAATATATGACCAGGTGATGTAAAGAAAACTAAAGAATATTATAGAAATGTTATTTTAAAATTTAAATTGAAAATCGACTTGCTGATATGAATGTAACTGATGAACATCTAAAGTGTTGATATCTATCCGAAATAAAATAATAAAATAGTGAGAAATGTGCGTCTAGATTAGGAAAGTATTTTTTTTTGCATTTAACACTACAGATTGATATTGACATACAGATCACGCCTTTCTGTAACATCTGTATAATTGGCGCTGTTCTACACGATAGTTTTCATACAAGGAGTTTTTATCCCGACATGTCCAGTAGTGTGAAGTTATGACAATTGTTTTGATGTTTGTTTGTCTGGCATGGTGTTGCGCAGTGCGTGCAACTGTTCATGTCGGTGGCGGTGGAGCAGGCGGGCATCGACTACCACGTGGTGCTGGCGCAGAACGCGCTGCAGCAGTGCCTGGAGGTGGGCGAGCTGCAGGACGAGCTGGCGTCCGTGCTCGCCAAGCAGGTCACGCCGCACACGCACTCCAAGCACGGCGTGCAGGTAAACACGCCGACACCCACTCGACACGCTAAGCTAAACGTTAAGGCCGCCAAGCTTAAGAATGTAAGTTTATAACGCCTCTCTATTATTTCTTTGTCCACGTCTCCGGCGTGCTGTTTGGCTAACAACTGTCTCTCTTTGTGAGTCATTTTAATAAGTCGTCGAGACATTGGTTCTTTGATATTAATTTCGTTATGAAATCGAATTAAAATGAAATAAAGTTATTACTAATGGAATAAATTCACTTTTACGATAACGAAACCGCGGGCGAAAACGACAAATAACTTTAAGTCGTATTATTATAAAGTCACGTTATAACTCCGTACCGTGTATGTACATTAATCATACTTCTCGACCTACAACAATTTTTCTAAAGATCAGTAGGTAATATGGCCTGCAAAAAATTATAACATTCAACTTTTAAGTAGAACCCGCTAATTGTAACGACATTAATTAAAAATAGGTAAATAACAAAACGAAACAAATAGTAAGAGAAGTTAATCTGCAAACATTACGTAATAGGCGTGTAAAAATAATTATTTTAACCAATACTTATTTTAGCCTTCCGCGTTCACAAAATTATCAATGATAAAAATTATCGACTGCAATATTCATGGTCAAAGCAATATCATGGCCTTTGTTCAATGTAAAGGTCGCACCGAAGGTTCCGTCCTTACTCCGAAGGTCGACCTTCTTACGGCGAGGTCGAATTTGGAGGACTTTTCAACAAGTTCGAGGTCGACATTGAAGACAAGGCTGTCCGTTAACATCGTTTTTAAAAGGTCAAATATTGAATTTTTTGAAATGGTAAAAACAATATGAACTTGTTTTAGTCTGAGCTTTAATATCAAAAGGTGATTCCAACCTTGGCCTTTAGTCAAGGTCAATGTCGAATCTCACTATTCTTAACAATTTGATCACATGTCAGTTAATAATGATATACATAACATGGATTCAAATATATTATATATAAATATACTGGCTCACCCATCAAACGTCGTTTTGCCATTAAAAAACAGGGGTTGATAGAAGGGTGAAGATTTGAAGTTGTATGTATTTTTCAATGCTAAATAATAATAAAACAAATATAAAAAATATTGTCAAAAAAATAAAATTTAGGGGTGGATTACCCTTATCATTTAGGGGTATGAAAAATAGATGTTAGCCGATTCTCAGACCTACCCGATATGCACACAAAATTTCATAAAAATCGGTCCAGTCGTTTCGGAGGAGCTTGGCAACAAACACCGCGACACGAAAATTTTATATATTAGAAAAAATGCATAAAGTAGTGATATTCTAATAGATTGAAATATATCGATAACCAAAATGCTTTAAAAATGATTATAAAGCGCTACAATTATTGAGGTATTATATTCTTAACAATGAAAAGTATTATCATTTCTAGGTAAATATATGGATTTGTAAGCAATCTATGTGTAACAGGGATGACAGCCGTTATTTATATAAACAGGCGCATAATTGAAAAATAAAAATATTAAGTGAGGCCATTATTTGCTGTGTTATTATTTATATATTAATTATTTTTTTAAATTATTAAAAAGCTTTAGTTTAGAACAATGTCTATGAAATACATATTGAACTTAATTTATACTAATTAGATTATGTTGTTAGCCAAACAGCATACCGTATTGAGGAGTTAAGTGATTTCATATCAAATTTTTGATAAAGAAAACGTGTACACTTGTATGAATTCACACGACTCGTTAAGAATAACAATTACATATTACTCGTATGTACTTAAATAATAAAATTAATTAAGTGTTTAAATGGATTTTTGATATAACGTATATTAATATGAAAGTAAAATAATTGTTATTCTTGTTGAATAATCCGATGGTAAATTCATTACGATGATGAATTTACCATCTTGTTCATTGGTTTGTTTGCTGTAATATAATAACGCTCTCTGTTATTATAACGGAATATACTTCTAATATAACTATAGCATGGCTTTAGGTGTGACGACGACGTTTTAACGAGAATCTCCCCTGTTTTATACATAAATATATTTTGAATATGGTACATGGTTTAAATACATTATGATATACATTAAATCGAAATCATTTAAGGCTTGAAATATACCTATTATACGTGAGCCTAATTATTTGTACAAATACTGCTGAAACATATTCCGAACAATTAATGTTTTATGTACTTGTAGTACACAAAGCTAACAACTAAGCCAACTGCGCTTACAAGCTATCTAAACAATATTAGCCGTTTATAAGTTACATCAAGAAGTATCTTATCATAACTAAAATAGTTTAGTCCAATGTTTTCTTAGTTGAGTTTAACTGGAATTTAATGACAAAATGCTACACCGTACCTGATCAGGTAAAATTATGTCAATATCGGTATATTTAATAAATTTTGCATATCATAATGTGTTTTAACCAAAAATTAATATTATATTTCTGCTTTATATTCGCAAGGCAAAGCTTAAGGGCGATCGCTTCGATGCTTTTCTCATATGTCATTATTTCATGGTCTTAAAAAAATTGACACTATTTTTTATACGCATTAGATTTTGTAGTACTAGAAGATTGTGCTCTAAGGATATAGCAAGAGGGTTTATTTTAACTTGTAATTTATGCACACTACACCACTTAATTTTAGTTGGGTACTGGAATGCTTTGTGTCGATATTTGATAAGTAAAAGTATCAATTTACAGCCTCATAATCATGAGAGTTAGACTAAACTTTACGTTTCTAGATTTAGAAACAAATTTCAAACAAAATTTATTTTAGTTAATTAAAACAAAAAAAGGGTTCATTCATTTAAAAAGTATATTTAATTTGATATCGTAAAACGAATCCTTAAGTTATTATAAAATCGTTGTAGACCTTTAAAAATAAAAGTTTTACAAACGACCAATTAACCCACTCTTAATAAAGGCGCTAATGCTCAGCTGGAGTGTTCAACAAAAATATTGATAATGTGACACCCATGGGGCCGGCTCGACCGGAGCGAGACTACCACCTCACAGTAAACCAGCAAAGGGAACTCTTTCGGTGATTTTCACCATATGAGTGAGGGAAATCCTGGATGAATTGCAGGCGTCCATTTGCGGCGGTCTTCACTTACCATCAGGTACCCCGTCTGCTCGTTTGCCCCCTACACTTTCAAAAAACCATATTGCTAGTATTCTTATTTAGGGGCCATCCATAACTTACGTCATACGTATTTTAGGACTTTTTAACCCCGTCCTTGTCACATTTTTAGAACCCCCTCCCCCTGATGTGACGTCACACATTTTTTCAATGTTATGTTTGTATTTAAAAATTATTAATAAATATGGATCGTAAATTTTTAAAGTTCTTTATTCATATATAAATTTCGCGCCCGTGTGGTGGTGGATTTGTGGTGGTGGGTGTCGTAGGAGCCGACTAAGGGAGCAAACTACGCAGGACAACAGCACTGCAAAGAGAAGGAAAAGTTGATACAAAACCCTATACCAACCCGGCCAGTGATATAGTAGCCCATACCTCCTTTCTAAGGAGAGGCTTATGTCTAGCAGTGGACTACTGAAGGCTGTTGATGTGATGTGACAAATTTCGCGTTTTAATATTTTAAATTTGAACATATGAGGTCGCAAAAGTTTTGATCCCCCTTGCCCCTTGTCACACAATGTCACATTCCAGTAATACCCTCCCCCTTTAATGTGTGACGTAATTTATGGATAGCATCTTAAAAAGTTATTAAAGACTTATCAATATCGACCAAAGCCTTATATACATAAGCCCATATAACTGGGACTTTGCTAGTATTAAACATTAAAAAAGAGCACAATGTATATTTACCGTCGCTTCAAAGTTGTAACATTTATTTGCATTAAAACTGTAAATATACACTAACAAACCATTTTTGTTTAGTATAAGCTTTGTGTGTCGCTATAAGAGAGCTTTTATCGTGGTCGATCAATTTGGAATTGTGTATTGTGGATACAATTATATTGGCTTCATCGGAATATATGCGAATATAAAAATATGCGTAAGCATATTATATCATTTGCGACAAAATTTATGACACGGAATAAATAAGGTTTTATTCCAATTTGATCCGTTCAGTTTTGGCAACATTCATAATGGCAGCCAAATGCATCTACGATCGATTTTTGAAAGGTTTTAATGTTGCCACAACAAAAAGTTATGTTGCAAAATTTCAAATGGAATGTTGGTGTAAATTTTTCCCTGATTTTTAGTTTTTATTCCGAGAATGTTTGTTCCCAATCCCCATAGATTTAGGGAATGAAAACTTTATTCTGTTTATCTATCATTCATATATATCATAGCTAGTGTTCCTTCGCACTGTTGAATCTCCTTTGTATTGAAAGGTTGATGTTGCAAGTTTTTAGACTGTTATTTACTCCTATATATCAATATACTTTAGTCCTGTCTATCTTTTGTCTATGGTAAGTAGGCATAATTAGGATTAAGCTCTGATTGACTGCATAATCTGTCGAAAATACGCACTGATATTATAATTTTATATTAAAATAAAATATTAATTTATCTACTTCCGTAACTTTCCGATATTTTGACTATGTATAAAGTATTGACACTTTTAAAATTTGCTACAAAACGCGGCATGTTAAGCAGTCATCAATAAATAAACACGAACACTGTACATTTAATCACATAACTGTATATATATATTTACTAGTAGACACGGGAACTAAATTGTATCAAGGGAAATACCAAGTTTTAATATAGCACATACACATGGTGTCTTGCACTAGCACTAATTATTTGTGTAGTTCTTAATTGTCATTCTCTGGGAGATACTGACAACAAGCTGTATTGCGATAGTTATATTATACTGTCATAAGTCCGTTAAAGATGAGTTAAGGTCGGTTTTTAGTTTGCAAGGGCGTGTTGTTCACGATAATGTCGATATTATATACAGGATGTAAGGGACGTCGTAACGAATACTAAATAGTGTTGTATATGTAATAAAGCCAGACCATCATTCTGAGTCGAAAATCATAGTAATTTTCTGCCGGCAAATTAAACGTTTTATGCAATCATCTGTCAAAGGTTAAGGTTATTCCCCGTAGGTGTCGCACAAAAGTAATAAATACATTTGTATTCCTTGCAAACAGTTTACGCACACTAATAAAGTTCAGAAAGATGAACCATTAACTCATATTTGAGCGACAAACTGCACGGATGGCGTAGTGGTTTAAGCGGTCGCCACGCCGCTCACTACTACGCTGAGTGCGGTGGGTCCGATCCTATTCTTTCTGTCCGTTTCATGTATGTTTGTAAAGTCCCCCTCGACACAGGATATATTCCAAATACGGGAGTTGTCTTTAAAAGAAATATAAATTAATTTCACAAAATGCAACTCAAGATATACGGGTTTAGATGTCGGCACTACACGGATGTCGCAGATTCAAATAATAATCTAGCCGACTGCCGCTAATAATGCTTGATTCATTCCCATTACCCCATTTTTGGGCACATTTTAGTATTCACAGATTCATACACAAATTCTGGACCTGGGTCCACTTTGGCGGCGTATAATATAATAATATTACTTTTTGAAAGAAAGCTTTTTTGTGCTTTTATAATGAAATTTGAAACGCAATAACTAAAGTGGAATTAGGATCTACTGAAAAATGACATTATAAGTTTAATAAAAGACGGAAAAGTGAATCTTGAATACTAGTTAAAAAGTGATGTAATATAGAATAGCAGGTTAGTTTCTGATAATAGAATCTTTTAACGTTTTAAGAGGAACAGTCCAACCCCACCGCCTGTCTACATACAAATTTAACTGTTCTAATTAATATCATAAATGCTTAAGTAAGTTATGATTTCACGCTTTAATTACTTAACTGATCATCGTGGAATTTTGCAAACATATTGCTAGGGGCCAGAGAGGGATATAAGATACCTTTTGGTTTTACCTGGTCTAGAAAAAAGAAGAGTTCCCAATAACTGATTGTCAAAAGCGACTTATTACTGAAGCTAAAGTAATCTAAACTTATATAACTTGCCCTGACTGACCGACTGACTCATTAAAGCCCGAAGTCTGAGCCCAAAGGGCCTTGAAATTTGGCAGCTGATGCTTTTCATGTTTTAAGCACTAAGAAAGGATTTTTTGCAATTTTATCCTTAAGATGGTAAAATAAAAGAAGAATGGTTGTATAAAATAATCACGCGAGCCAAGCCGCGGGCAATATATAAATTTAAATATATAAATGATGAATTACTCGTCTGAATTATAACAACTATCGCCAATATTTCAACATTTCTTCTACTGGTGACCATACTACGTTTAATACGGGAGCGAGCGAGTCTGGTTTTGTTACTGACTACCGTTAATCACAAAAAAAACTGGCACTGCGGGAGTGCCGACAGAAGTAACGTGTCGGTAACGGTAACAGTGTTGAGAGTTCAATTCTTTTCCCATCTCAAAAAATGCCTAACGCTCCTTAAGAAGTTTTCACTTAAACAGAGGTGTCGGTAACGGTCACGGTAACTGTGCCGTGAGTTCAATGGTTTTTTCCCATTTCAAACAAAAAATGTGTTTTTTGTTAGGCCATAAAATACATTCTTTTGTTTGTTGTTCAAAAATGCCCAACGAGCCTAACAAAGTTTCACTTTAACAAAACTGAACCCATGCATTGTTGTGGAAGGAAGGAGGTTGAAAGTGGTTATTGGCGATTAGTAAATGAGTTGACAATAATTTATACATCAACATCCTCCGAAGCTTTTCCCTACTACGACACGGCTTTTGTTTGTTTTTTTTACTTGGAGCGACTGCTATCAGACCTCCATAACCTAAGTACTAGGCGATATCGAAGTTCTGTAGAAAGTCTATCATCTATACGTATAATATATATTTTAACAATTATAGATTGAAATTGAAAATAGTCACTAAAAATATATTGTAATTATAAAATGACAATGTTAGTCAGTAAATGTGTATTTTTAGGGTTTTTGGAATACGCCTTTGTTTTACCGCATAGCTTTGAGGTTTGGGTTCATGCAAACGCAATGCACAGATGTCTAAAGATAAATTAAGACACATTATAAATAATGATTTTTTTTGTTTGTATTGACAAATGTTGATTATGACATAAATATGAAATATTTAATTTTTGTTTTATATTTACAAGATGAGATTTAATTTATTATCTACGAGTACATGTGTTGTTTAAAACTTATACACCATTTAACACTATACACATAATTTTACGCATACATATAGGTACACATCAATCAGCATGATTGAAACCTATATGTATAACATATCTAGAATTAAAAGCATACACAATACGGCAATATTATACTTATCACACAACGCATACATATTATAGACAGTATATATATATATCCATAATTCTCTCAAGAAAGGCCCCCCCCCCCCCTCAGTATTAATAATTGTAACACCCCTACCACACGTCCTCATACACAACCAGTAGCTATCGCATCCCCTACCAACATTTCATTTGTACAGCAACTTCTACTGTGCGCGACTCAGTCGCTCTTCACTTGCGACACTGGCGCCTCGTCCGTCGGCGGCGACAACAAGAGCGGCGATGTGCAACCCAACGCCGCGGGGTCGCCTAGCTCTATACAGGTAATTGGAACGCACAGAAAAAAAACACCCATAAATATAGGTTCTACTTTAGGCATCTACAGTAAGTGCAGTTGAGACGCATAAAGAGTTTGTTTTATATTTTACTTCAACTCTTACACGTGTTAATCGACCTCAATTATTAAATATTTTTGTTGTAATTTAATTTGATTGAACTAAAATTATATTATATAATATAATATTGAAATGAATTACAAATGCACATATTTAAAAAAAAATTGTGTTTTCACAAAATACAATTGTATTCAATGAAAAAGTGCATATTTGTACCTCTATATGAAGTTAAAATACTTTTGTCATGAATGTGGTAATTCAATTTCGCATTATTGATATTAAATATAAAAAAACTGATTAAACAACATATCTTTCAAGCCCATGGGTAAATGTGGTCAAATTGGAGGAAATAAATGACCCGTTGATGTCTATTATTTGAAAATCCTTTCAAAAACACAAATGCATTAATTCATAAGCGTAAACCTAAAACCAAACCGTATTTATTTGTAGACCATAGTATTTGTCGCTTACCACAATGCCAAGTGATGTCTGCACAAAGCATATTCCTGAAGCCATTTATAATTTACACAATATCGTACAACCCTATGTCCTAAAGGTACACACATTCATATGAGGAAAGCAAGATTATGATCTTTTTGTCCTGTGATTGTAAAGGAAAGTATATAATATAAATAAGGAGTGAATTCACTGATAGCGTATTCACACTCAATTGATGTGACTACATGTTAAACAAGTAGGTCGATATTTACCTTTATATATTCAAGAAAATTTATACTATTTCAGTAGTTGGTTATCCCAAGCAACATATGTTTTTTTCTACCATCGCAGCCATGTTTCCAGGCGCCGCTTTTATCCGTGGACTGCAAGAGCAACCCTCCGACGTACAGCTTTGTGCAAGGGTGGCAACTCTTAGCGTTGGCAGTGAGCCTCTTTGTGCCGAGGAATAACAGGTTGCTGTGGTATTTGAAATTGCACTTGAGCAGACATGCTGACTCCAAGTGAGTATTCTTTGCTATTAAAAACATTATAAAAAGGTAAAATTTGTTTGCATTTAGGAAACCGATTGCAACCGATTCTGAAAATTCTTTTACTAATATCTAGTTACAATATCGTTGAATTTTATAGACTATAAATTGTATTCATAACACTGCGCCCACTTTAAAATATATATATTTTAAATGGTTTCTATGAATTTATAGCTTTATCAAACAAGAAATTAAAAAGCCATTTTTGGGTTTAGAATCCCAATATTTTAGTATTTTGTTATTGATATATTATACACGAAATACCGATATTTCGACACTTCTATACAAGTCACTTTTAAAACCCATTTTGATATAAAGATAACAGTTGACAACAACCGACTACTTTATTTTGTTTTGTCTCTCAATTTTAATTCATAATCTACTTGTATTATTCAAAATTATTTTACGAAAGGCATATACCTTACGGAGTGCTATTGAAGCAGTCTGTTGTCGTGTATTTGGATTGTGGCAATTTCATGGTTTTGACCATGACAGAGGTTCACGACTGTAGCCCGAGAGAATAGGTATAATAATCACTTACATTTTGTAAACTGTAGTTCCGATAACGTTAAAAGGAGCGTGAATATTGCTGGCAACCGTGCACTGTGAGAATTACTGATATGAATATTTACTGGTCTTGAAAATAACTCTTAAAATCTCTTTCAGAACGGAGTGCGGTAAATACGCTGCATATTGTTCACGTGCTTTGGAAAGGACGATCCGCAACGGTGGTCGCGAAGACAAACCTTCTAGAATGGAAGTGTTATCAATATTGTTGAAGAACCCCTACCACCATTGTCTACCTCATGCGATACCTGTTCACATGCTCAATAATACTTATCAGGTAAGTTTTTTTCTCTCCTAGTAGGCCAAAACCTCTTTTCTAAGTCCGGCATTATTAATAAATAATAATAAATTAATTAATTGTTGTTGATGATGATGAATTTCTCTCCTTTGTTATTTTTCAGTATTCGTCGAAAGAAGTTAAATACAAAAGAACTTAAAATATTACATTTCAGATTTTTTTAAAAAGAGGAGTATACAAATTTGTTCTAGCTCCGACGCAAATGGAATCTTTTGCATTTTCATTTGTTTTATGACTAATAATAGTAAACAAGTGTAACCTGTAGACAGCATGGCCCTGATTCATTCTTCGAAGATATCGAACATCCAATAAAAATGAAATAATGATTTCTATAATAGACATTATTTGCCTCTGAATTTGCGCATTCTCTTGTTTTATAATTTTTAATTCCAAAATAAAACATTTAAATAAGTTATTTAGCGGTAGCGGGATATTATTCAATACATTTCTACGTAACGTATAACGTTTCATCATTATCAACAGCCATTTAATAGTCCACTGCTGGACATAGGCTCTCCTTAGAAAGGAGTTTTTGGCCTACTATACCACGCTGGCCAGACGGGTTAATATAGAATTTGTTTCAAAGTTTTCTTTTTCTTTGCACTGCTGTTAACCTGCAGAGTTTGTTCCCTTAGTCGGCTCTGACGACACTCGGGATGAATAGAGGTGGTGACACTGTATTCATAATCTGTCACCTGTTAATTACGACGAATTCATTTAATTTCAGAGCACTATACTCTAAATATCTTTACCGCTTTCAGAACCATGTTTTCTCTTTCTCTCGCCAGGTTATAAGCTTCGACGGTTCTACGACAGTGGAAGAGTTCCTATCAACATTGAGTACAGAGCTTGGATGCCGAGAGTCGGCATCCTCAGGGTTTGCTCTGTTCAGCGATGACCCCATAGAAAAGGACTTAGAACTGAATATTAAACCGGATAAAAAGGTCAGTCTTTTTACATTATAGAGTATTATGTAAGTGTATGATTCTACTCACTTTATTGATGGGCCTGTTGGTCTAGTGGTTACTGAACCTGACTGCTAAGCTGGAGGTCGTAGGTTCGATTCCCACCCACAACAAATATTGTGTGATGAGCACGGTCATTTGCTATGAGTCTGGGTGTGTCTAATTTATCTATAATATGTATCTATTTAAAAATATATAAGTATGTTTATCAGCAGTCTGGTCACATAGCACAGGCTCTGCCTAGTTTGGGATCAGATGGCCGTGTGTGATATATGTGAGGATATTATTATGTTCTTTTTATATTATTAATATCTCAGCTAAGTGCTGGTGTCTGTCACGGGCCAAATACAAGTGTTACTCTTTCAAGGTAACATTATTATTATTATCTATTCAACTTTAACTATATAAGTCTTATAATGAAACAAAAGTTTTTACAATTTTAAATTGGCCAATTTGAATTTTTATAAAAAAACTGTTAAATTTTAATTCTATAATTACCAGGACACAAAATATTAATACATTATTATACTATTTTGGACTTATTAATGTTTCATTTCAATCTCTCTCAATCTCAATTTTTAGTTTTGTTTTATAATATTACAAAAAAAACTTAATATTAGTTGCATATATTTTTGTAACAATGTAATTTGAAACGAGAAATGCTAAAAATGTTTTTAAAATTTTTTTTTTATTTTTTCTAATGAATACCTTATTATCGTTTTTATCAACTTGTTATCTTTCATACGCGTAAAATTTAACTTACATTTAATTAAGAGTTATAAAAGAGCTTACGAAAAAATATGTATTTCTTTAGCTATGTGATGTAATATCAAAATGGGAGACGGCGCTCAGAGAAAAAGGATCTGGAAAGTTCGAAAACTCAAGAGTGATTCGGCTCACTTACAGGAACAGGCTATACTTTAAGAATTCTGTAAGAAGTGAGACCGATAAGGAACGGTTATTGCTGTGCTATCAAGTTAATCAGCAAGGTACGTATATATATATATGCTGCTGAGCTGAGACCCGCGGTGTTACCCGCGTTTGTTGTTATAACCGCGGGCAACGCCGCGGGGCGAAGCTAATCCAAAAAAAGTATCCTAAGTTACTCCTTATGTCATCAGCTATCTGCCAGTGAAAATCCCGTCGAAATCGGTCCAGCCGTTCCAGAGATTACCCGGAACAAACAGACAGACAGACAGACAAAAATTGTAAAAAACGTTATTTTAATATTACAAACAGACACTCCAATTTCATTTATTTGTATAGATTCATAGGTTACAGGTAGTGGTTACAGGCAGATGCGTTTTAATAGATTTAATGTTTTCTACTTGAAAACGGCAGCTGTATGTTTTTACATCAAATTTTTATATTTCTGTATAAATTTAGTTGAGAATATCTATTTCTTTAATATTTACGTACACATGACTTTTTCTTGTTGTTTAATATATTATCCTCTCTTCACTCATAGGTTTGCTAAAAGAGAACTCAAGTGTGGGTTCGACTTACGTACAATTTGTAAATATTATTTGTGTACAAAACGAATGAATAAATAAATAAAATAAACTTATTGTAACGTGAAATGTTTCGCGTGCAGTGGTGGCGGGCCGTTTCCCCGTGACGCGGGAGCTAGCGGCTGAGCTGGGGGCGCTGATGGCCCAGCTCGACATGGGCGACTACTCCCCCTCCAACACACAACACAACCAACCCCTCGCGCACAGGTTCTACCCCTACAGATACAGGGCAGGACTGAGCAATGAAGAACTTAGGTAAGACAATAGCTGGACAAGCTATCAACCGCTGGATAATAAATTTACAGTGGGACTATAAAATCTCATCTCACATAGAACGGCCGTAGAATAAGAATGGCGTAAGAGCCATCACTCGTACGTCTCTCTGGAAGTGTTTGAATGCGTCTTATGTTTAGCAGAGTACTTTAAACAGCTCAAATCACGATTGACTACATAATTATTCTTTCCCTTTCCCGCAACAGAATTGCAACGCTTGTCTCTTTTTCTTTTTCATTGCAAAGTTCTTATTTTTAAATTAATTTGTAATAGATTCGAATTTTAACAACAAATGAATTTACACAGTACAATAATATCGTTTTGTCGAAATGAACCAGTAAAACCTGAATCTCTGAAGTTTGTTTGTTTAATATATACATACAAATTAAACTTGTACAATTTAGTCCAAATGTTAATTAATAATACTTTTTTTTTTAAATCAACAGGCACTGGTATAGGTGCAATATTAATAAAATATTTTTATTTATCAGGGACGTTGAAGAGAAGCTTCGATCCAAGTGGGTGGCTCTCAAGGGACGTAGTACGGCGGACTGTGTACGAATATACCTTAACTGTACGAGGAAGTGGCCTTTCTTTGGTGCTACGTTGTTCCAGGCTAGGGTAAGAGTCATATCTTTTTTTATATCTAAGATACACTGTACTAAGAACTTGGATTGTACATTCCCAGCTGAAATCTTGTCACTTTGTTTTAGATTTTAAATGTTGCATAAGTGTGTTGTGACTGTTAAATAATAATCATATAAATTTTGTATATTACATCCTTTTTATTTATTGAACGTATTGATTAGGTGGCATTGGCCGTGGCGTTCACGTGCACGTTGACCCGTGCGTCCATTCGCGTTCAGTAAATAATCATGCGATCTTTCGTACGAAACAACAATTTCTTGACACCTGATTGGTCAGGGGGCGGGGCGTGATTGTTTCGTCATTATTTTCTTAACGCGAATAGACCATAGTTTTGAATATGCTTGAGTATAGTATAGTAATTAGTTGTACCCTTTTACTAAATATTACCTAACCTAAATATAATTAATATTTTGGTACATTTTACACACTTAATTCTTAAAATTTCAGATAAAACAACCAGACTTATCTATGGTGTGGTTGGCGGTGTCCGAGGAGGGCGTGACCGTGTTGGAACTCGCCTCCATGTCTGTGATAGGGCGGTACGCGCTCAACTCCATAGGACTCTTCGGAGGTTTACAGGTACCTGCTGTCTAGACTATTTATATAAATAATATTTGTACGGGTGCGGACCGGCAACCTAGTTATACCAATCAGCACGCACCTCTTACGTGTAACACCGAAAGCCTATCTAAAATTACAACCTAAGTACGTGTATCGAGCGGGCACCGTAGTGAACCAATCATTGTACGAGTATTGATTGGTTCACTACGGTGCCCGCTCCTACGCCGCCTAAGTACCTAAATTCCCTAGATTCCCTAGCCCTACCAATATACAGACCCTGCGGTGAGGGTATAGATACATACATACATAGATAGTGCGGGCAGTCTGTTACCGGGAGACCTAGGGTAACAGACGGAGACGTGAAGGGAGCGGGGTTTAGGAGATGATTTTCTCACTGCCAGACGAGCAGGCTCACTAGACCGACCTACTGACGGCTAAGGTTGTCTTGGCCACAGTGACAGGGAAACGAGCCAAAGTCGGATTAGACAAAATGACTGATTTATTTACATAAGCTTACAACTTATACTCTTATCTTACTCTAAATACACGCGGATGGCTATTTGTTTGTGTACTATCCGTATATTGTGTCGATCTAGCTGGCTTGATCTCGGTCGTGCCGCACTGCTTGTTACACTGATGTTGTTGCTGTGTGATGCAACCATGATCATGATTGAACAATATTGATACCATACAAAAAATAACTTATTGAAATAAATTTATTGCTCGACACGTTGGTAATGTAAATATTTGTTTTATAGGATGATCTGATGATGTTGATTGACGCCGAGGACGCGGTGAGTCCAGTACATAAGATGTTGATCAGCCTCAATAAGCCAAAAGTAAGTTGGTGTTATATTAGTGCTAATTCTGTTGTTCGAAAACTAACTAAACTAAAAATCACTAAAAATTTGTTTGGTCCTGTCAAAGAACGTTTCCTATTCTGATAACGTAATATTTGACCGGACAAAATTTATTTTAGCAATTAGCACCATTGTGTATTATTTAGTGTAGAAATCAAAGCAAATTACATTGGCATTATCTATAATTTAATTCATTTTCGCTATTTATTTACTACTAAGCGATGAAATATATTTTTTCCTTATACAGACTATATAGTCACCTATGAATTTTACGACTTTTTGATGCCCGGTTCTACCAATAAGAATGTAATATAACACAACTTTGACTATAACATAACATAACTATGACCGTGGAATTAAATTAAATTAAACGTGGAATATAAAACGTCTTCGGGAGTGAATTTAATAAATCTATTTCGATTTTCCAGATGGCAGAGCTAACCCATCTAATAGCCGACTACAAGAACGCACTCCTCCGGCCCGGAGGCACCGGCACTCCTCAAATGAATTCCCTCACACGGAACGGGAGTCATCGCTCAATCCGCAAGCCCACCTCAACACTCCCACACTCTAGCCCTTCTACATTACCTCACACACATCAATTATCACAATCTCATCACACACATCACACCACTGGGCACAACACCCTAAATTCCCACGCGACGACGATGACTCTAGGGTCAGATAGAAATGCGACCCTAACGTTAAGTTCGCACACGTCGACTTTTAACCAACACGTGGAAGCCAGGGTCCTGTCTCACGGACAACCGGACATTCTAAAGTCGACGCCTGATCATCACAGAAGTGAGAAGAAGAGAAGTCACACGCAGGACAGTGGAGTTGCGTGATTGTGAATGTATCATAAAAACTATTAGGATGGACTTAGTGAAAGTGTTTTGAAGTAATCGTGCGGCTGTTTTGAAATATTTTTTTTAACTTTTTCGACGGTACCCCAAATATTAATGCATAGGTTACAAAAGTTCATTAATGTCATCACAATTGAATTTATTTTCCTTAACATAGTTCTTGTTTCCATTTTGTTCAAATATTTAGTAAAATATTTTTAGTTTTCAATGTACTATTTATTACATGACCTTATCTTTAACGGTCTTATTCAAATTCAAAATATATTTATTTCGTAAAAAAATTAAAATTGTTTGTAATGGTCTTTTATGTAGACTCTTAAGTCGTAGATCAACACACACACAATAGCAAGAATCTCTGTTTTGTCAAATAGTAAGTAAAAAAAAATGCTTATACAAAATCTATGATATGCCTGTGCCGATCACAACCGCCCGTTTCCAGGGGGTAAAGCTTTATAAAAAGAAAGAGCAAACAAACTCATGGCAATTTACAGATAAATACAATGGCATCATTAAATATACCACAACATTGTTCCGATATTAAAATGTAATTACATTTGTCACAATCGCTCGCTATTTTTCTACACTTATAATTTTATTTCAATATTCATTTCATGGATATGAAAAATACATTGTTTAAAATTACAATTGTCAAAAATTCTCAAATACAATTTTCGAAACGGTCGTGCCGGATACTTATGGACAGAAGTGGCTCCGTATACAGTGATAGCATTCCACCAAATATAGGACGATGAGACATAAACGAAATAATAATATACCTCATATTTTGTAGCGAACGATTCAGCCTATTTTAATTGGCTTTTTCATGATAGATTTAATAATAATAGTTTATAATTTATTTTTTCAGCGTCATATTTTTTTATGGTTGCTATATTTAGTAGTTTCGGCTTAAAAATGTATACAATTATGTGTGATTTTCATGTATGTATTGATGTTTGTACGCAGTCTAAATGCCAATTTTATACATGTAGCTGTGTATATATACTGTACAGGGAATGATAAATGTCTTATAGTTGGATGTGTGCGGACAAGTTACATTCCAATAATGACTATTTGCAAACCAGAATGGTTGTATGGAATATAGAAAATGACGATTAAACATGGATAACTCGGAAAGTTCGACAGTGCACTGCCTGCATGACATTGTGTAAATGGTCAAAAATCTCAAAAAGGCTGTATACTGTCAGACTTTTCAACATTCTATATTGTTTATGATTGCTACAGTATCAAGTGCATTTTATTGATGCGCATAGTATTTTGAGACATTCTTAAATATCGTACGTCCCTATGAAATACAGTATTTGGTATATACATAAATTACAGTCAATTTTCACTATTATTGTGATGTGTATTATATATTATAGTGTGCTACATACATTTATCTAGCCCTGTACACGTTTAGAGTAAAGTCCATTTAGCATAATACAACGGATAAATGCCTACACGATTCTAATATTTTATACTCATTCTAGTGCAAATAGATCTGTATTACCAACGACTGACCTAAAGTGTGATTATACTTGCGATCTATTGCATAACAACTACAGATGAATAGTCTTTACTTTAAATATATAAAAAAATATATATATATATATATATATTGCTTAAACGATGATTTTTAATATACTGTATATTGTCTTGTATGACAATATACACAAGACAACATACAGTGTGTACAAAAAAAAATGGTTATAGACCAATTTCTTAGCGTTCCATGGATTAACCGTGCGGGTGCCGGGTCCATGGGGGCAACACATGCGACAGGCATAGGCATAGGTTAGGTACATACAGTATACCAATATATGTATTGGTGTGCTGACGTTAATATTGTATGTCAACTTAAAGTATGTTTTTTTATTGTTGGGATTAAATCGGTTAAAGTCACAAGGTCTTTTTTCACGGTAACCACGGATTATTTTTATTTATTTAAATAAAACCTACAGTTGTTTCAAAAACTAATTTTAAAATTGTCATTTTTATCATGACCGAGCTAAACGAAGATTTTAATTTGAAAACATTCAAAACGCAAGTGTAATCACATCTCAAAATTTAATGTGACTCGTCATGCAAAAGTGTGAATCTCAATTTAGAATATTTAAATTAACGTAAACGGCTACTTTTTATAATTATTGTTTAAAGTCGATTTTCAAAAAAAGTTTCTTTATAGTGCCAATACGTTCTACCAGAATCCTTTTTCTTAAGTTTGCAGTTGAATTTAAAAGTAAATAATTGTTAATTGGGAATTCTGAATATTTTAACGTGTGATAATCGAATGGACTGATATAATTAAGATCGTTTACGAACTTAACACATTAAATTATGTATAACAGTACATTGTAGTTTATGAATTTTAAATATCGCTGGCTGTCAATCTTTCGTTTCCTTTGTCTGGTCTGATTGTAGCCTTGACGCAACAAGGACACAGTAGAAATGTTGAATATGGTAGAACCCTGCTTTATACAGAGCCAAGCATTGTCTTTTATCGTCTAGTTATGAATGACAAAGGAAAACGGACATACTTTCCGGATTAAAAAAATGAAATTTACACATATTTTAATTAAAACTAAGAGATCCCCAAATTGACCCTGTAACTTTGGGCAGCAATTATCAATATTTTGATCTCAATTTTTTTTTGCAGTATCTTCTACAACAAAAAAGAAATATGGTTCACTACCGTAGCAGAAAACGGTACTTGACTATTTAGTCTTGTCTAAACGGCAGCGTACTGTTATTATAGGTCAAATAACAATGTGTTCCATACATCGTGCTAATTATAAAGTATTGTATTATCAATGATAGGATATTCCTAACATATATACATACATTCGTATATTTTCTCATTCAGAATAAACATCATTTGAACATAGGCTGTTAGAACGAATAATCCTGGCAAAACATTTTTTTATACTTTAATTACGCAGTTGTAAAGTTTTTAAATAATAAGTAATACGTGGTGTATCCATGTTGCAACAATGTTCACTAGATGCTAACATCTATATAAGTAAATGTATTTTAAAATCACGAGGTTCTTATCCATGTTAATCCAGCTTAGAAAAGGCGTAATGACATCACAATGTACAGTGAAATTAGTCTCGAGAAATTTTTGCATATGTAGTGGTGTGTATATTACTCAGATCTTAGAGCGCGTTTCCACTATATCGTTCTGGCCTATACAAAAATGTTTCGATATCCTAACATTACTATTTAATTTTATACTTATCCCTAGCAACACTCTGATTTTTGTTTTCAATAAAAACAAGTTTTTTTTTTAAAGGAAAAGGTTTTGACTTTATAAAAAAAAAGGTGTGTGTGCGATTCACACACGATAGAAGTGAAACTTCAAAGAGGAGAGACCGACATTTATTTATTTTTTTCCTTTCATCTAGGTTTTTAAAACTCCGGGGGGTCTACGGGGGGTCAAAACTTTTGTTATTTTTGGCCTAGGACGCACCGTTTCCGAGATATTTCAATCTAAAGCAAAAAATCGTCACTTGATAGTGGAAAGTGGAAACACGCACAACCATACACTACTACAAACGCAAAAATTTCTCCAAGCTAATTTACCTGTAGTACCTAAACTTGTCATTAAAATACAAAATGACGTTAAAACTTTATTCAAAATGTCATAACATTTGGCAACATTCATACAAAGTGTTTATTAGCTTATATGTGCGCATTTTAATACACTACCGTAATTTTTAATATTATTTAGATTTTCAGAGCTTCGTGACAAAGTAAAAAATAAGAATGTAAAGATTATGTAAATAGAACCGATTTTTTGATAATTCAAACATTAATGCGAAATCATTTAAATGAGTTACTTAAAATTGACGAAATGAAATCCATGCTATTATTTAGTTATTTCTGAGAATATATATTGAATAAAAAATGTTAATTGTATTTATATCATTTTTGTAAAATCTACTTAATAGACAAAGTCTGAATGAGGTTCCTTTGTGGTCTAACAACGCGAAACTCTAAATCGAAATATTACATTTAATAATAATAATTTCATACTCAATTTAGAAGAAGTTTCTACCAATTTTATTTTGATAATTTACGTATTTTTGTTACCAGCATAGTATGTGATTATTATTTGTTACGTATAGGGCAATAAAGTCAGGTTTTGAATTAATACCATAATAATATTAATCTCTTTTTTATTGTAATACCATCGGAGTATCGTCTTCTATCTCTTCTATGGCAATTAACATCCAGTATTATTCTTTAGGCTGATTTACACAAAGAGATTAACAAGATTGAACACAACATAACTACGCAAAAGTTAGCTGTCACTGGACACTGATATTAGTTGGTCAGCTATAAAGAAGTAAATATAATCACATACCTTTTTTTTGTAACTAGAACCTCATTATTGTCTTAATACATTTGCAATTGACGGGCTAATTGAAGCGGATACAAACACTGCAACTAAATAGAAATAGTTTTATAAATAGTATATGTAAAATAAACCATAGAAGCTTATATGAAACGGTAAATATGTAATATTGAGCATATCGCTTCTGTGACCGCACCCTGGACTGTTCAGGCCATCGGTTAGAAATTCATTCATTGACCTTATAGCTGCAAAAAGTCCTGCAATAGCACAAATTTGAAATTCAGTGTACAGGACACGCGATTGTAGCCCTTATTGAGATTGTAATAGAAATAAAAAATGCATAATAAACGTTTCTTTGAATAAAGGCTAAAATCGCGATACACGTAGACAGCTAGTTATTCCTATGTAAAATTAATTTTAATTGCACTTTTTGTATTACACTTACCTGTTGACATGAATATGTATAGACTATTGTAATGTATATTTTACATTAAATAAGAACTATTTTAGTTTAATGATTAGGAATTTATTTCGTAAGTATTTATTTTATTATCATACGTGGTTGTTTAATTTTCAAAATTATTTTTGTAAGACCATTTTTTCTGTTACTGTGGCCTAATTCTAACTAACAATTATAGGCCTAAGTTGCATTATTTGTGTACCATATATTTTGTATTTAAACGAGATTTTGTTTGATGATGCGAGAATAAACTTGTATTACTGAATTATTTTTTTATCATTCTTCAAAAAATAACTATTTAGATATTGGAAATACTTACCACTAAAGGAACAGTATACCAAACTCTTCGTCAACTATGAATGAGCTGATGATGTTCACAAATTATGGCTATGAATCATCCCGATCACCTATGCTATGAGCTATGAATCATCATTTTACACTATACCTAGAAAGATATTATTAAAGGACTCCCCAGCTAATTTTAAAGACAATGTCTAATATTGTGTTTACGTTTAAACATTCTTACTTGCTGCAATTTTAGGCCGTAAAGCTCCAATCTACATTTTATTTGACATGCCTAATGATTAGTGACTGCTAAAACTGAGGTCGTGGGTTCGCTTCCCAATCATGACAAATACAAATATTTGGGTGATGAGCACGATCATTGGTTCTGTGTCCGGATGTAATTTATCTACGAGTATAATATGTATGTTTTACAATTAGTATTTAAGTATGTTTGTCGTTAGTCTGGTTACTATAGCACAGGCTCCGCCTAGTTTGAGATCAGACGGCCAGGTGTGAGATTTGTCAAGAAATAATCTGGTTAGTACGTAATATCTAATCTGACGCAGCAGACTCAGACGTTTTATATATAAACAGGTGTTTCCTGAGCTTCAGCCTATAATATTCACTCAACTGGCCATTTTTTACATTGTTTGTATATTTTCTGGAGGACTACGACCACTTTAGTTCGCAGTGGAATAACCTTAATAGATCTCAAGACTAGTGATTTAACATAAATTAGCTACTTATTTGTTGGCTTATTTGGCAAAACGATCCTCAAGTTCGCTGTTACGATGCTGTTCCTATCTGTTGTAGTTCTCTATAAACCACCGTATGACATAGTATGAGAAAATGTGACGTGAAGATCTAGAGACTAATCACGTTTTTATGAATAGTCCTTCATCAATCGCGCAGTCACATCATAATTATAATCATCAATATCATCATCTTTGCCGAATTTTTGTCTATGTTATAAAAAATGGAATACTTACTCGTATATATGAAATACGTAAAGACTTAGCTTTCTCAGACAATAAGTTAAAAAAGTAACTAAATCGATGATCTCTGATCATCTGATCACTATAATTATTGAATGCAACTCCAGTGTACTAGGAAAGTAGATTTTAGTATCAATTGATAGATTAGCTATTGTAGTAGGTATCCTGGGAAAAAAAAGATTACGATGAATGAACCTCCTCCTTTTTTTGAAGCCGGTAAATAGAGCCTGTGAATTGAAACCGGCGTTTCACGAAATAGACCGGAACATGGTGTCAATTTTAGCACCCTTCAGAGTTAATTTTATATGAGTGTAGGTTATTGGAGTTATATAGGTTATATAGGTGTAGGTTAAATTATATATAGGGTTTTTGATATACGAACATTATAAAAGTACACACAGTATTACAAGAATTATACATACCTATATCTTTGACATAATAATTGTTACTTAGGGTTTACTTTAGTATAGTTGATTCCGTAAGTAGCATTAAGGGCTTTTACTAAAAAAAACTGAACCATGCTTAACCTTCATACGGTACCACCGATACCACGGCCTCACATAAAACCAGTATAAGGCAATTATTTTGTTACTTTTAACCACGTGAATGTGGTTACTGGAGCCCAAATCCCACCCTCCCCCTATCCCAGTATCCCGTAAATCGGGGCAACGCACTTGTGACCCTTGAGTTATAGGTCTGCTCGTTTGTCTACTATACCTTAAAAATAATAATCTTCATACTACTATGTGTATACTCGTGCTTATGTATTTATATATGTATGTCTGTATATTTTATTGCAAGTATATGTATATATATAGTTTAATGCTACATCAATTAATGTGGCTATAAACTAATCATTATAATTATATACTTTTTCTTCTCCTTATCCCTAAGTACACATCATGACTTTACGTTCTTACTTATCCTCTATTCACTCTAAGGGTTCGCTGGAAGAAAACTCAGGTTTGGGTTAAGCTCACCTTTATACATGAAATTTCCTTATCACTTATGTAATATTAATGTGCACAATAAACAATAAATGAAAAGCTTTTTGACTTATTTTTTTCCCAAGCTAAAAATTAAACTATGTATTAAACTATGTTACGTTCAAAGACCGAAAACGCTTATTAAGTTTTTTCTGACAGACAGGTTATAAATACATTAAAACTTCTACTACTACATCGAAGTGCTACTTCATAATCATTATCATCAACAGCCTTTAATAGTCCACACCACGTCGTAGAATATAATATGACAGCCATAACAGTAACTTTGAGGTAATTTAAATACAAAACACAGTCTTTAAATAACATAGGTATTTACTTACAAAAACAACTACATAAAAGTAACAGTAATTTATGAAATATTCCAATAATTTTACAAAATTATACATTAACAGATAAGAACAGCTAAATGAATTAAGTTTTAGTGTGCAAGAAGCTGGAATATAATCATATCATTTTATATATACAATCAACTAGGGTTTGCCCGTGGCTCCACTCGCGTGTATGTCGTTTTTCACGGTAAGAAGTAACTTATGTACCTACTTCCCCAAGAATCAAAGTATTTCCATGCGAAATTTAATTAAATTTGGTTCAACAGTTTAGCCTTGAAAGCGTAACAGACAGACAGACCGAGTTACTTTCAAAAAAGAATGTGTTTCGACTCAGTACATTTATAAAAACTATTTATACAGTTAAGGCATTTTTTATTTTCTACGACTCTTCATATTGAAGTCAGCTGTTATATATACACTTTTTTTCAAAGATAACTAGAGAATAGAGATCAAAGATCTGAGATATTTTTCCGTGCCCTGAAAGAATTTGTTTTCTGCCGTGAAACGAGACGTGGCAATAATAATAATAATAATGCAACGCTGAACATTGGAAAGTAAGTACCCAAGAAACACACACACATATTTAAACTAAATAGAATGTAAATGGAGATAGTAAAAATATTTTAAACAATCTCACCTTTTCAATCCCTCGCTCAACATAAGCTAGAAAACTGATCTTAGTACAATATATTTAGAAAATGAAAAAAAAAACATTATTTGTTCTCTAGTTTTGGTATTTAACATCATCCATAATAAACATGGCCGGATGGCGTAGAGGTTTGTGAAACGGACTGCTACGTCAGAGGTCGCGGGTTCGATTCCCGCTCAAGTGTTCGTGAATATTTAATTTTTGATTTGGTCTCAATGTTTCTATGTATGATATGTATGTATTTACAAAAAAACGGTATAAATGTATTTATATCAGTTGTCTAGTACCAATAGTAAAAGCTCTGGTTGGTTTGGGATTAGATGGCGTTGTGTGAATGAAGTAGAATATTATTATTATAATAAACATCAACAGTTACAGTTTATTACGATACTTATGTCTTATTTCCTTAAGAGGAACTCTTCGGTCTTCACATTCAACGCCTTCAGTATAACTTCGGTTTCGTACGGTAAAGCTGAAAGTAAAAATATCGTTTTAATATACAAAACAAACAAGAGCCGACTAAGGGAATAAGCTAAGCTTGACAACAGCACTGCAAAGAGAAGGAACACTTGAAACAAGCCCTATACCAACCCGTCTGGCCAGCGTGGTATAGTAGGCCAAACCCTTCTAAGGAGAGGCCCATGTCCAGCAGTGGAACAGTAAAGGCGGTTGATGAATATACAAAACTTAGATCATACTTTAGTTACAGATGGAGTGTCGCACTACAAAACAACTAAAATAGGCCAACTTCATGCTACTATGTGTTCAAATCAATGCTGGTGTGTATACAAATCGAGCGTTAATAGTGACAGACAACGCAGCTGACTGAGCAATAGCTGGACAAAAATGATCTTAGTGGACAACAGTTAGACAGATTTTTTTTTAAGTTTTCACAGCTTCGACAATGTAATGTGCCCAAAACTGGTGGGAAACTAAATTTTTTTAATAAATTGTTTTCAACTGTATTAAAACATGTAATTTATATAAATAATAAAAACAATAAGAAAATTGTTGCTAATCAAACCTAATTCTAGCACTTACGTATATGAAGCCACTCATTTGTGTTATATCCGGAATCTTTTCTAGACTCCATAATACATGATCTCAACGCATGTGTGACTCCATGTGCTGTACACATACCCATTTCACCGCAAGCTGAAAAGAGATAGCAATAATAAAAAAACTGCCAAGCACGGGTTGAATTTGATTATAGGGTTCTTACAAAGTTTTTTAATAGTATAAGGCAAAGGTATAAGTCAAACGAGCAGATGTGTCATCTGATGGTAAAAAACTACTTTTGCTTATGGACACCTAAATTTTAAGAGACACGAATGCCTCTTCCCTCGATGTCTAAAAAAAAGTTATACATTTTTGAATCTATCGATAAATTACGCACGTACATGCGTGCGGAATCCTAAAAATGATTAAAAAAAAAATAACACATTAATTAACCAAGTTACATACTACTATTTCTCATATTCATATTATATTCTATTATTGCATATATATACTTCTTTTCAGGGACAATTAACCCACACATACTCATACGACTTAATACAGTGAAATTAGTCTCGAGAAATTTTTGCATATGTAGTGGTGTGTATATTACTCAGATCTTAGAGCGCGTTTCCACTATATCGTTCTGGCCTATACAAAAATGTTTCGATATCCTAACATTACTATTTAATTTTATACTTATCCCTAGCAACACTGATTTTTGTTTTCAATAAAAACAAGTTTTTTTTTTAAAGAAAAAGGTTTTGACTTTATAAAAAAAAAGGCGTGTGTGCGATTCACACACGATAGAAGTGAAACTTCAAAGAGGAGAGACCGATATTTTAAATTTTTTTTTTCCTTTCATCTAGGTTTTTAAAACGCCGGGGGGTCAAAATTTTTGTTATTTTTGGCCTAGGACGCACCGTTTCCGAGATATTTCAATCTAAAGCAAAAAATCGTCACTTGATAGTGGAAAGTGGAAACACGCACAAAACCAGAATAAACCAGTTTACGCTGTCCGCAGGTGCCACGTGACCATACACTACTACAAACTCAAAAATTTCTCCAAGCTAATTTACCTGTACGTATCCGACCGGTATATAGACTAGCTTTAGCATGCGCTTATGACGGTCAACAATTTACTATTTTATTCCATGTCCCAAACTATCAATGTGCAAAATTTCATTGTAATCCATTCTCTGTTTCAAGTCTTTCCCTTGTGTTTTCCATACTTTCTCGTTACAATATTAGTAAGATAGTAAGAAGTTGTACACTCACTCTTAGATCCTAGTACTCCTTTGGGATTCTTGTGGTTGTTTCGAAGATAAACATTAAACTCGACGGGTATATCAAGGGCTAGAGGTACGTGGTAGGTCAGAGATCGGTTTGATAGTAATTTACCAGTTTCCTTATCAATATGAAGTTTTTCGCAGGTAAGGTAACCAACACCTTGAATATATGCGCCTTCCACCTTGAAATAAACCAATATTATATATCAATTATCTAAAGTATTATAAAGTACACCATAGACTACCCTAAATCAGATTAAACAATATCCGTGTAAAGGTTGTCTGTAAGAGATCGCCGTGAGCGATAAGACCGCCTATTGTAATACCAAAATGTAGATGTCCATCCATGTCTGTACAATATATACTGTAGCGGTGTACAAAAAAAGATGTATAAATAAATAAAATAACACTACAGTATCGCTTGAAGATCAAAGAACAGTAAGTGTAGATTGGTAAGTCAACACTTGCTTGCCCAGAGCCTTAGAAAAAGTTCGCGAAAAGCGTCTTCGAAGCAATGTCCTCCTTCACCACGATAACGCATCCTCATATTCCGCTTAGGTAACAGAAGCCCATTTGAAGGTTCAAATGTGGAACTGATGACACATCTGCCATATTATGTATACTATTTATCAGAATCCAGAAACTTTCAGTGTGCCCTAAGTACAAACAAGAGGTAGATACGCCACCAACGCACAAAACGCGAGGGTCCTGATTACGACCACTGCGAGCGGGCGCACTTACTAATTAATTTACGAAAATTCATAAAATGCCTTTCTGTGTATGCCGAAAGTGCACAAATTACGACAAAAAGGGAAATAAAGATAAAGGAATATCACACCATAGGTAAGTGCATGTTTTGTTCTAAGATGCATTAATAGATGTACATATGTACGGCTACGGAACAAATATTTTATGCGTGTAGTATAAATATAACGTATCTTCCTTAAATTATCATTGACTACAGTACAATGTGCTCGCAATACTCAAAGGCGACAGAAATGGAAGGAAGACGTGCAGCAGCCCTGAAAGTGAGCGGCGACGGCGAGCCGCAACCCTGCCCATCAACAGCCACTACCACTCTCCCAACAGTGTCCCACTAAGAAGGTAGAGATAACTGTACCAGTATTCGTAAAGTACGTACAGTGATATCTTTGTAAAGCAAAATATCCTTCATTGTCATCTGACGAAGAATTACCGAACTAGTGATTATTAATCCTGTAACTCGTAATAAAAATTATTGCATCTTCAATAAAATCGGATTGCTATCGTCTAGGCATGATCACCTCTCCTTGTGGGCATTTCCTATATTTGTTTTAGAAGTACTCTACACTTTCTCTTCTATATGCTTGATAGTACTTTTGCTTTTCAAACCAACAGTATACTTTTTTTTAATCATGCGTCTACCTTACTATATAACTAAATAATGGCAAAATCCCGATTACTTCTTCCTATCGCAAGTACGTAACGAAACGATAACCAAATTGAGTTCTATCGTCATTAAAATATGTTTAGCAATAAAAATAAAATCGAAACATAAAATTAAAATTTATTATCTACTCACCTGGCCAATATCCAACTTAGGATTAACACTGATTCCTACATCTTCCAAGATGTCCACTCTTTCAATCTGGAACCTTCCAGTCAATACGTCTAATTTGGTCTCAGCTATTGCTACAGCATACGCATTGTATCCTTGTAACGCCGGATCAGAGTCCTTCATCATATATAATGCGCACAAATCAACTTGATCTTCACCAGCCTTCTTGACAATATCTACCCATTTTCCTTCAGGCATTGATTTTCTTATTTCAGAAAGCCTCGATTTAATTTGTTCGCAAGCTTTAATTATAGAGTAACAGACACTTTCCGTTGCGATGCTGGCACCGGAAAATACGTTATTTGCCGATACAAATGAATAATGAGGCACTACTTTCACATGATCCACTGGAATTCCTAACTCATAAGCGCATACTTGAGCAGCTTTGGTGTTAAGACCTTGTCCCATTTCAATTCCTCCAACACTGATGGTTACTGTACCGTCTCCTCGATAAACACTCACTAGAGCTGAATAGTTTCCATAATAAACGACAGGGAAAGACATGACGTTAACAGAGATGGCTTTTTTCATCCAACGATTAGTCTGGTTAAAATTTTCAATCTCTCTTACTCTTTTTTCATGGTTTACATCTGCTTTTAATTTTTCGATTAGCTCTAGGAGATCGTTGTCTTCGGTTCTCATGTTTATGCTACGCACTTCGGTTGGATCCTTCCCAACAGCAAAAGCAATGTGCGACATTATATGTTCTATGCTACAGATACCTTCGCAAGTACCTAAAATAATTATAAATAAGTTTTAAGATTAATTTATCGATATTCTTATAATTATTTGTATATTAAATTTAGTTCAGAGGTGAAATTGACCTTGACCTTGGTGAAAACATTAAGGAATACATGAAACGTTTTTTAACCCAGGGCTGATCTTAATCAGAGTATTTGTTTGCATTTAGACATAGTATAAATCCGGAATTAAGATATTTTCACCAAAAATTGCTAGTAAATAAAAATAACGATATGAATTAATTGCCAGTATTAGCTTAAATATCTAATACATTGTAAATGTAAGCTGAGTCCATCAAATAGGTAAGAGTCCTTTGGTCTTAATGTAGATGATAATGATAATGATGATGATAATGATAACGCAAACATGAGATTAGTAGCTTCAAGAGTAAAATTTTTCTTATCGAGAGTACCTGGTGCTCTTGCAAAGGAATTACTTGGTAGGTTAGTCAATACATTAGCTGTCCTCAAAGTCCAAGTTTCAGTGTTATAACAGTTAGGGAATCCTGCTGCCGTAAAATATAAAATATCTTCATTCGCTGTACAGCCTTTGTCTTCAACTATCGTGGCGTTGAGATATTGGATTTTACCATTGTCGTCGATACCCACCTAAAATATTGATTTTAGTAAAAAGTGATCGAGAGTTAAAATTGTCTACAAATTTTACAGAAGTCATTATGATCATTGTATTTTTAGACCATCTCTTTATGTGACAAAAAATAAAAATAAACAGATCCAATTCGATTCAAATTCAGCTTCAGTAGTGTTTACCTCGTAATCACACTGTGCAGGCATCCTTTTACCTATCATAGACATATTAGTCTGCAGAGGCAGTATAAACCGGCATGGGACATTCAGTTTCTTGGCGGCTAGCGCACATGCTGCAGCTACCTGCGCACCACGACTGATTTTGCCACCGAAGGCACCTCCCAAACGCCGGACTTTGACTACGATTCTGAAAGCACATGTTCACAGCGGATTCAACATCAAAGATTGAACAACTGGATCAAAAATTTGATAAGGGTGGTACGGAATATAAATAGTTAAGTTTAATATTGTTTTATTGTGTACACTACAAAAATACGAAAAACTTTGTTCCTTCACAAATTCGAGTTTCAAAATACCGATTTTCATAATTCCGAATAGTTCAAAATTTCTAATATTACAATTCCGATTGATCATTCATCCTACTTCTATAATTCAAAAATTTCAATATTCCTAACGTTTATAATTATTATGCACAAAATACCGAATTTCAAAAGATCGAGTAACAAAAAACAACCCGTCTGGCCAGCGTGGTATAGTAGGCCAAAACCTCCTTTCTAAAAATTTAAAATTCTAAAAATAATACTCACTCGCTCTCAGAAATTCCCAAAGACCGCGCTACAGCAATTTGCGTTAGGTCCATCCACTGCGTTGAATCATATATCTCGAGACTGTTATCGGTTGGAATAACTACACAAGTCAGAGGCTCTATATAATAAAGATACTGTGCCTCAATTTCGTACACTCCTTTTATAACTTTCTTTACATCAGTCCCTCGGGTCTTAGGGTCTATTTTTGGATCACCAGCAATATATCTATTACTGTCTTTTTTTGCAGCGTCTATGGTTAATACAGGAGGGACATTGCTTACATTTTTGTAGGTTACTTTTACTTTCCTCGCCACTTCTTCTGCGAGTTTTTCCGTTTTTGCTACTACAATGGCTATTGCTTGGCCGTGGTACCTTATTTTTGTAGCGAGTATTTCTTCATCGAGTAATTGTAATGGAAGTCCAGCTAAGGTAAAGGAATTCACTCCTGGAATATCTTTGGCTGTATATAACGCTACGACGCCCTCTATTGCCTAAAAACATAACCGGAATGTTAATAAATGGTTATTACATATTAAATACTGTAAATAATTATAAAAATGTCGGAGATAGCATGCGCCCTCACAAGATACCATTTAGGTTTCATTGTAAAATGCAGTTTTATTAAGTTCTTTAATTATTTTTTGGAAAAAAAGGTATGTATTAACCTAACACTGCTATCTCATTGGAATATTAGTACAGTAAAAGTATTTAGATAAAAATATACTTTGGAAAAATCGGTTCGTGGCAAGGTATTGAAAAAAAATCAAACATTTTTAAATTGTCGTAAGATGCTTTCTTACCGATCGCGTACGGTTTTTTCGAAGCATCTGATTTTACATTATCGCAAATTGTTCGGAAATCTAATATTATTTAGCGACATTTTTTTTTTCTTACGCATAAACAGTATTATAAACTATAATCAAACGATATATATATTACAGATATTATAACGGAATACATTTTCTATGAGTCACACAGGCTGAGAAAATTATAGGCGAAAAATCACGTTTTTTTCGAGATAAATGCGTGTTTTCTCGTAAAGCTTCTAACGAATTTGACTTCAGCAACTCTCATTTTCTTCCTTTTTTCTCAAACTACACACAACGTCTTATTTTTTGTTTTACAGTTGTTA